TTGTTTTTTGTTTTTATATCTTTTGAAGTATTTGATTACATTTATGGTCTTGCAGATAGTGAAACAGCCCCGCATCCTGGGAAGGAAGCCTACTTGGTCATGTTGAATGGTTGAGATGTGATGTTGGATCCAGTTTTCCAGAATCTTGCTGAGAATTTTAACATCTATGTTTATCAAGGATTTTGGCCTATAGCTCTCTTTCTTTTTTGGACCTTTACCTGATTTGGGCATCAATGTGATGTTAGCTTCATAAATGATTTGGGGAGACTTACATCTTTCTTGATTGTCTGAAATACTTTCAGTAGGATTAGTATCAGCTGCTTCTTGTCTGTTTTATGGAATTCTGCTAGAAAACCATCTGGTCCAGGGCGTTTTTTTGGTAGGTAGTTTTCTTATGACATAGTCAATTTCTGGGTTGTTATTGGTCTATTTAGGGTCTTGATTTCTTCTTGTTTCAACCAGGTGAGGTTTTGTGATGTCAGAAAGTCCTCCATTTCATTTAGGTTTTCAAGTTTGTTTCCGTATAGGTGTACCTAGTAATCTCTGATCATCTTTTGTATTTCTTTGGGGTCAGTAGTGACTTGATGTTCTGCATTTCTGATTGTTTTTATTTGGGCTTTTTCTTTTTCTTGTTCAGTCTAGCTAGAAGTTCATCAATCTTGTTTATCCTTTCAAAGAACCAGCTTTTAGTTTCATTGATTTTTTTTGTATTATATTTTTGTCTTCTGTGTCCATATTTGAGGGTTTTTTTTGTTTTTGTTTTTTTTTGTTTTTGGTGATCTAGAGTCTTCTACTGAAGTTACAGTTTTGGTGGTCTTGCTTTTCCAGCTTCCTAAGTAATTTGTTAGTCTGTTAATTTGTGATCTTTTCATTTTCTTCTTGTGTGTTAGTAGAGATATCAATTCCTCTCTTAGTATGCTTTCTTCACATTTCAGAGATTTTAGTAAGATGCTTCTTCATTTTCATTTGTTTCCAGGAATCTTTAAATTTCTGTTTTGATATCTCTGTTGACCCTGGAGTTGTTCAGCATCATGCTGTTTAGTGTTCATGTCTTTGTGAGTTTGGGGGAACTTTGTTGGTATTGATATTTATTTTTATTCCACTGTGGTCTGAGAAGGTGCATGGCAGAATTTCAATATTATGGAATGTGTTTGTGTTTGATTTATGGCCGTGGATGTGGTTGATCTTAGAGTATGTTCCATGTGGTGATGAATAGAATATATATTCTGTGGTTGTTGGGTAGAGAAGGTATCTATTAAGTCCATTTAGTCAAGTGTCATATTGAGGTTCTGGATCTCCTTATTTATTTTTTGTCTTGATGATCTGTCTAGGGTAGTCAGTGGGGTATTTAAGTCCCCAGCTATGATAGTGTTAGAGTCAATATCTTTTTTTAATTTCCGTAAAAGCTGCTTCATGAAAGTTGGTGCTCTCATGTTGGGTGCATATATGTTTAAGATGGATATGTCTTGTTGATGGATTAAACCTTTTATCATTAGGTAGTGATCTTCCATATCTTTTTAAATTTTTAGTAGCTTAAGGGCTATTTTGCCTGATATTAAGATTGTAACTCCTGCTTTCTTTTGGTTCCATTCGCCTGAAAATTTGTTTTCCATACTGTTACTTTGAGTCTGTGAGAGTCCTTTCTGATGAGATGAATCTCTTGGAGACAGCATACTACTGCATCATTTTATTCAATGTTCTATTCTATGTCTTTTCATTGGTGCATTTAGTCTATTCACATTCAGGCTAATTATTGAGATGTGAGAGTTTATCCCTGTCATAGTGTTCCTATAGAGCTTGTTGTTGCTGCTGTTTGTTTATTTGTTTGTTGTCTTTCTTTTGAGTTTTGGGTTGATTTATGTGTGTTTTCTTTTTCCTGCATTCTTGGGAAGGGTGTGGTTATTCTTTTTTTTCTTTCTTTCTTCTGTGTTTTATACTTTCTTAAGTGTTTTTTGTAGAGTTGGTCTGGAGTTGGCATAAACTCTTAGTGATTGAATGTCTGGGAAGGATCTTAATTTTCCATTGCTGATGAAACTTAGCTTAGTTGGGTAGGTAATTCTTGGTTGAAATTGTTTATCTTTGACAACTTTAAAGATTGAACTCCAGTCTCTCCTAGCCTGAAGTGTTATTGTAAATAAGTCTGCTGCTATTCTAATTGGTCTTCCCTGGTAGGTAGTCTGACCTTTCTCTCTTGCTGCTTTTAGGATTTTTTCTTTTTTACTTACTTTGTTTAAGTGAATTACTGTGTGTCTAGGAGTTGGTCTTCTCATTTGTTGTCTTGCAGGGATTCTCTGAATCTCTTATGTTTGAATGGTTGCATCTCTGATGAGATGAGGGAAGTTGTTTTGGATAATTTCATGGACTGTTTGGTCCAGGGTGGTCTCTGTCTCTCTATCTGCCTTAAGGATTCCAATTATTCTTAGGTTCAGGCTCTTGATATAATCACTCATCTCTTGAAGGCTTTGTTCTGTCTTTTTAAGTTTCTTTTTTATGTTTTTAACAGTTTGGGTTGGTTCCATATTTTGGTCTTCAAACTCTGAGATTCTTTCTTATGCTTGGTTAATTCTGCTGCTTCCCTTGTTTATCAGTTTGTTATTTATTTCATTCAATGTATTCTTTATTGCTGTTATCTTGGTTATCAACTCCTTCATTCTTTCCTCTTGTCTCTCATTTCTATTTATTCTCTCTATTATTATCATCTTGATTTCAGGGTCTGTGGTTTGAGACCAGTCATTCTGGGGGCTCTTCAATGTTTGAGTTCCAAAGTCTATATTCTCAGTTGTTGTCTTCCCAGGGGTCTATATGAGACCCATATTCCTCTTTTGGTTTTCTTCATTTGTGAAGTGTTTGTCCCTTTTTAAAACTTCTTTAATTTTGTTTTTCAGTGATGGGGAAATAGCTTTTACTTCTGTTTGCTCAATCTCCTATTCTTTCTTATGTAGATCCAATGGATTTGTTCATTTTTGAAGCTGGACTGGGGGTTGGGGGCTGTGCTTTTTGCAGTTTTGAGATTTGATTAAGGAGAGAGCTGTGATTCTGAAGCTGTCTGTAGAACCCAGTATCTGCTGACAGGTGTATGGGTCCCCTGGAACCCACCTCCCACCACTTTACAATCTGTCCATGCAGTGGGGGGTGTATGTTTGTCCCTTGAAAGCAAAATGAGATAAGCAAAAGAAAAAGAGTGGAAAAAGGAAGGAGGAAGACAAAAAGAAGGTGAAGAGAGAGAAGAAGAAGAGGGAAAACAGGCGCACCAACTAATGAATAAACAGATAAACAAACAACGACAGGAAAAAAAAGCCTACAGACAATCATACAGATAAACAAAAAAACCCATTTATGTATTTGCCCTCAAAAATACCCATACACATATAGAAAATTTAAAAAAAATCAAAATAACAGAAGGAAAGCAAGTATGAAAATGTAAACAAAATCAGAAAGAGAGAACAAAAAAACAAAAAATAAGCAGCAACAACAACAGAACTCGCTCTGAGGCCATTTCTGTAACTCCAGGTTCCTTTCCCAAACACTGCCGCCACTCTTTGCTGCTACTGCTTTTGGCTGCCACTGCTTTTGGTTGCCGCCATGTTAGGGAGCAGCTTCAGTCTCCATCCTGTTTCCTCTGCTCTCTGTGCAGGCTGATAGGGTTGCTCTTAGTGTGGGTCAGATGCCCCACAGAGGAGGATGGATCAAATCTGGACTCACCCAACTTGACTGCTGCTGCTGACAAAGTCTCCCACTCAGATCAGACATGGCTGTGCCTGCTCCAGCATTGAGGAGGGGCATCTGTCTCTCCAAGTCCAATGGTCTATCCCAAAGAGGCATGGGGATAGCCTCTGGGTCTCAGGTTGGAGGCTGGATAGAGCTGAATGAGGCAATGCAGGTCATTACCCTTCCCAGGACAGAGAAGATAGTGTCAGTTGGCAACTCCTCACCAGTGGTCAGGCTCCATTCCAGATTTCCATGCCCTACCTTCTCCACGGTTCCTGCTGTTAGTGCCCAGCCTGCTGTCACAGATGATGGTGTGGGCCAGGTGCCAGGTGGTGAGGAGTAGCTGTTCTTTGCTGCTTCCTTTCAAGAGAGCCTTAAGACTGGCAGACGATCCTGCATGCCAGGGACTCCAATCTCAGGGCAGTGGTGGGCTGCAGTCGCCTCCAGAGGATAACCCCAGATGCATTAACTTGAGTCTCCCTTTAGACGCACTTTCACTCCCCACCAGCACACACCCACTCATGCGGACAGTCTTTATGGGCCAGATATTGAGAAAGGTAATTATTATTCAAATGACCGATTCCTTCACTAAATGTTTTGGCCTGTTTGTATGAAGGGATACTTCCTTTCCTTCTCTCTCCACTACCCCCTACAACACAAGCACACTTTTGCTCAACCTGTGATTGCTATCGCCATGTGTGTGAGAGGCAAGGAGGAATAGGGCCAGGGCTAAGTACTTTAAAGTAGGGGTTCCTGGGTAGAGAACTTAAGGGTGCAGAGTAATAAAAATGGAGGCACCAAATAGAGTTGCCCAAATTTAAATGGATATGGAATCTGCATCCTACCAGGATAGGGTTTGAGAAGCAGAAGGTACTTTTAAACTGTCCTGTCGGGGATTATATAGAAACAATAAAATACTGTGTAGAGGGGATAAAAAGCAGAAGTAGGGAGATAATGGGCAGAGAGGTAAAGAACATTATGGAGGAAGAAGACAGAAATACAAAGGGATGGTAAAGTCAGGGAGAGTAAATCAAGTCAAAGAGGTCCACAAAGAGCTTCATGGTGTAGCAATGTGTGAAGATGGGATTAAAGGAAGGAAGAGAGAAGGAGAGAGCAAGAAAGAAGGGAAAGGGGCCTAACAAGGTACTCAAAAAAGTGGAGCACAGCTCCGTTGGTGCAGACATACTTTATTCCCAGGGAACTGTTTGAGCATCAGAGTTCAGCATGGTCACATCCAGGTAGGTGTCCAGGTCACCATCAATTGTCTGTCATGTTCCTCTTTCTCTCTTCAGTGTTCAGGGAATATGCTCTACAAATAGATGAAGAAGAATCAGAAGAAATGCCCAATTTGCTAGCTTATAATAGTGAAGGTAATTAGGATTTAAATTACTTATTGTCTAATTAAAGCCTTATTTTCCTGTCAACACCTATTCTTTCATCTCCTTTCCTATTTCTTCCTTCCTTCCTTCTTTTCTTCCCATCCATCGCTTTACTCATTCATCCTTCCACCATACCATCCATCCATCCATCCCCCCCTACACACACAAACAGCCTAAGCCCAGCTTTTGCCTGCTTTTCTTTGGAGACACAAGCAACAAATAAAGGATGAGTTTAGAATGGTTAGAGTTTTCCTGCATATAGATCATAGGCAAACAGAGAAAGAGAATAGAAACTATCGTTGGAGTCATTAAATGGAGACCTGAATGACAGGTAATTTTACCTAAATTGACATGAAATCCCGATATCACCAAGTTGGGATGTGTTATCAGGAAAGAAAAGTAATTTTCTTTTTTTTTTTTAAAGATTTTATTATCACTATTATTTTTTCTTTATTTTATTTTAAAGATGTGAGGTACAAGTCAGAAATATGTACATAAGTAGTCTGCAGGCAGGTGAAATTTGGGCCTCTTACTGGTCCTCAATTCTCTTGGCTTAGGATCAGGCACCCTTAGTGATGCAATGTGCCCTCCCCTCCCTTCCCTGGCAATGTCCCGCTACTGCTAATCCCTCTCTTGTAGTATTGTGATAAATGTTCAGGACTCACTTATGAGTGAGAACATGTGTTACTCATTTCTCTGTTTCTGGGATAGATCACTGAGTATGATTAACTCTAAATCTATCCAATTTGCTGCAAAATTTATAATTTTTTTTCCTTCTTTATGGTTGTGTCATACTCCAGTATATGTGTACCACATTTTCTTTATCCAGTCCACTTTTGATGGACTGCAGGGATAGTTCTATATTTTTGCTATTGTGAATAGTGCTGCAATAAATATCCCTGTGCAAGTGTCTTTTTTGTTAGAATGATTTGAGTTCCTCCGGCTATATTCCCAGAAGAGTAATTGCTGAGTTGTACGGCAGGTCAATTTCTAGTTTATTTAGAAATCAACACACTGTATTCCATAGAGGGTAAACAAGTTTGCATTCCCACTAGCAGTGTAGAAGCATTCTCTTTACTCCACACTTGTGCTAGCATCTGTTGTTTTTTGACTTATTAGTGATGACCATCCTTACTGAAGTTAGGTGGTATCTCAATGTGATTTTGATTTGTCATTTCTCTGATGATTAGTGAGGCTGAGCAGTTTTTCGAATAACTGGCAGCTGTTTATCCTCTTTTGAGAAGTGTCTATTCATGTCTTTTGCCCACTTTTTAATATGGCTTTTTTTTTTTCCTTTTCATGCATTTGAATTCCTTGTAGATTCTGGAATGCCTTTGTCAGATATACAGTTAGCAAATATTTTTCCCATTCTGTGGATTGTCTCCCCTCTCTCGTGGTTTCTATTGCTGTGCAAAGGCTTTTCCATTTGAAGAGGTCCCACTTGTCTATCTTATCTTAAATTGACACATAGTTTTGGGCTATGATAAAAAATTGGTTGCCTACTCCAATCCACATAAGGATGTCTCCTGGGTTTCTTCTAAGAATCTTACAGCTTGAGGCTTATGTTTTGGTCTTTGATCCATTTAGAGTTGATTTTTATATATGGTGATAGATAGGAGTTCTGGTTCATTCTTTTGCATGTGATCAGTCAGTTTTCCCAGTACCACTTGGTTTATAAGGTCTCCTCTTCCCAGTGGTTGTTATTGATGGCTTTATCAAAGATGAGTTGGTTGAGAAATTGAGGTTTTGCTTCTGGAATCTCTATCCTGTTCCATTGGTCTATATGTCTGTTCTTGTACCAATACCAGGCTGTTTTGATTACTGCAGGCTTATAGTGAAGTTTAAAGTCGGGAAGTGTGAAACCTTCTACTTTGTTTCTTTTGCTGAGGATTGTTTTGGCGATTCATGCTTTTTTTTGTTTCCATATGAATTTGTATATTGTCATTTTCAGGTCTGTTGGTAATTTGAGAGGGATTGCATTGGCTCTCTAGATTGCTTTGGGGAGGATGGACATCTTGACAATACTGAGTCTTCCAATCCTTAAGCATGGAATGTTTTTCCATTTGTTAGCATCATCCTTGATTTCTCGGAGCAACGTTTGCAGGTCTCATTGTAAAGGTCTTTCACTACTCTAGTTAGGTGGATATTAATTTTTTTTTGATGGGGTATATGGGATTGTGCTTTTTATTTAGTTCTCTGCCTACTTGTTGCTGGTGTATAGAAATGCAGTTGTCTTTTGCACACTGATGTTGTAACCTGACACTTTACTCAAGTCGTTTATCAGTGCAAGGAGGCTTTTGATAGAGTTCTAGGATTTTCAAGGTCTAAAATAATATTTTCCACAAAGAGGGATAGCTTAACTTCCTCTTTTCCTACTTGGATACCCCTGGTTTCCTTCTCTTGCCTGATTACTTTGGCTGGGACTTCCAGCACTATGTTGAACAGGAGAGGGACTTTTCCATGTTTTTAAACATATAAGTCTGGGTCCCACAAAGACAATTGGCGAATGAACCAGTTCTCCAATTGGGTAACATGTCCTTTTTTTCCTGCTTTTTTATTAAAAAAAATTCAATAGCTTTGGGGGGTTCAAATAGTTTTGGGTTATATGACTTGATTGTTAGTGGTGAAGAAGTCTGGGCTAAGTGTACCCGCCCCTCCGCTTGTGCACGTTGTACTTATTGGGTGATTTTTCATCCTTTTACCTCATCCTCTTCGCCCCATTCTGAATCTCTAATATCCATTATTGCGTTCTCTATGTCTTTGCAGTTTAGCTCCTACTTATGAGAACATGCGGTGTTTGGTTTTCTGTTCCTGAGTTAGTTCACTTAGGGTGATGTTCTCCAATTCCATCCAAGTTGCTGCAAAAGACATGATTTCATGGTTTTGGTAGCTGAATTGGATTCCAGTGATGCAGTGATGGTTACTGAGGCAAAGTTAACCTGCAGGTCAGGTTGTTTGCAATGTAGACATTACAGTTTCTCAGACTTTCTTGGTTTTCTCATTACCCATTTTCTTGCTGTGGTGTTTTCTTTGGTCATAAATCAAGAAATCTGAGGAATTTCATTCCTTTCTGCAGAGTATATCAATGTCTGTCATAACTTGCATGATGCAGCAGAGCCTCAGGAAGCCTTGAGCACCACCCCAAGACACGGGTCAGGTAAGGAAGGATAAGATTGCTCTCCCTGATGTTCAGCATATCAACGGAGGCAGATTTCAGAACTTCAGTTATCTGACACAGTTTATTCTGATCACATTCCACAGTTAAAAGATCCAATTTGTCCTGCAACCCAGTAATTCACATAAATGTTCCTAAGTGCATGTTATAGTAAAAACAGAGAATTGTTTCCTTTAGATCAACTATTCTTGAATCCAAATTCTAATTTTTGTCAAATAATTTCCATTGTGCTCCTGTCTTCCAGAATTAGTTATTAGTTATTTGAATTATTAGTAATAATTCAAACATTTTTTGCAAACAAGATGTTGTTTTATCACCACAGGTGTAAATTTCGACTAAAAAATTGTTGCTTATGCCTATTTTATAGATGAGGAAGTAGAAGCACAGAACTGTGTAAGCAAGAGCATGATCAGCATCCCTGGTGATTCACTGTAGTGATGGTTGTGTGAGGTTGGCTGAGAATTAGGGTGGCCAGGGTCACCAAGCAGGGTCCACACAAGAGATCCCAGGGGTCCTGCAGGTTCCTTGGAGAGTGAGTCAGCGCTCAACTTAAGGATACTCTAAATTCAACACAAGCAATTCAGTGGTAAGAGCAGAACAAAGCAGAGAGAATAGGTAGGATTGGTGCTTGCGATGCAAGAGATCTAGAAGAATGGAACCAGAAAGAAAAACAGAGACACAAGTAGGACATATAATAGAAGATGCTGAGGAAAAACAGAGAAGAAAAGACACAGAAGAAATTTCAGAGAGTCAAGGAGATAGACAGTGCTGCATGACGTAGAACAGCAGGATGTGTTGACTGAAAAATGAGAAAGAGAAAGAAAGTACCAGAGGGATGACAAGAAGAAAAACAGGAAGAGTAAGGCTGTAGGAAGGTGCAGGTGAGGTCCTTGAAGCAACCATATATGTTCCTGAGCATGGAGCACCAGAAATCAGCATGAATGCACTACTCTCTTGTCACTGTGCCTGGTTGATTATTTTTCTGTTTCTCTTCAGTTTCTTGTGAGCGAGTAGCTCTCCAAAGAACTAATGGAGAAAATGCTGAAGAGATGCCCAAATGGCCGCCAGGAGGTGAGGGAGGTAATTATGATTTTAATGACTGATTGCTTCACTAAAGTTTTTGATCTATCTATATACACAAGACACTTCCCTTCTTTCTTTCCCACACACTTTTGTTCAGCCTGTTGTTGTTGTCATGTGTGGGAAGTAGGGGGGCAAGGAAGACTATGTCCTTTAAAGGAGGGGTTCCTGGGTGGTGAACTTAAGGTCTGGAGTAATAAAAATGTAGATTAGAGGCACCAAACAGAGTTTCCCAAGTGGGTCCAATTTTATTTATGAATAAAGAATCTACACCCTACTCAGGATAGGGTTTGAGAAAAGAAAGCTACTTTTTAAAAATTATAAACATGTGGGGTACAATTCAGGGTTAGGTATACAAACATTGATTATGCAAGTATCCTTATTAATGATGTATGCCACTCCCTCCCCTAGCAGTTTCCCTCAACTGCCAATCCCACCCCCCTCTCCTGATAGTTTCCCATTACTGCCAATTCCTTTCTTATAGTGTTTAAGGTCCCCTTATGAATGAGAACATCTGGTGCTCTGTTCTTTGTTTCTGTGATAGATCACTGAGTATGATCAACTCTAAATCTATCCAAGTTGCTGTAAAGTCCAGATGTTTGTCCTTCTTTATGGCTGCATAATATTCCATTGTGTATATGTACCACATTTTTTTATCCAGTTCAGCTTCGATGGGCAACATGCTTGGTTCCATGTTTTTGCTATTGTGAATAGAGCTGCAGCAAACATACGTGCAGGTATCTTTTTTGTAGAATGATTTGAGTTCTTCCGGGTATATACCCAATAGGGGAATAGCTGGGTCATATGGAAGGTCAATTTCTAGTTCTTTCAGAAATCGCAACACTGTCTTCCAGAAAGGTTGCACTAGTTTGCATTCCCACCAGCAGTGTAGCAGCGTTCCCTTTTCCCTGCATCCTCACCAGCATCTGTTGTTTGTTTTATTATTGATGGCCATTCTTACTGGGGTTAGGTGGTATCTCAATGTGGTTTTGATTTGCATTTCTCTGATGATGAGGCTGAGCACTTTTTCATGTGTCTGTTGGCTGCCCACATATCTTCTTTTGAGAAGTGTCTATTCATGTCTTTTGCCCACTTTTTAAGGGGGTGGTTTGTTTTTTTCCTTTCGGCACGTTTGAGTTCCTTGTAGATCCTAGATGTTAAGATATATAGTTGGCAAACATACTGTCAGATACACAGTTGGCAAATATTTTTTCTCATTTTGTGGGCTGTCTCCCTGCTCTCTTGATGGTTTCTTTTGCTTTGCAGAAGCTCATTAGTTTGATGTGGTCTCACTTGTCTATCTTATTTCTTAAAGTATGGGCATTTAGGGTTCTGAATAGGAATTTGTTGCCAGTTTCAATTTCTATAAGGGTGTCTCTTGCATTTTCTAAGATTCTTATAGTTTGGGGGTTTTACATTTAGGTCTTTTATCCATTTAGAGTTAATTTTTGTGTATGGTGATAGGTAGGGGTCCTGTTTCAATCTTCTGCATGTGATCAGCCAGTTTTCCCAGCACCATTTACACCTCTCCCCACTGGTTGTTGTTGGAGGCTTTGTCAAAGATGAGTTGGTTGAGAAATTGAGGCTTTGCTTCTGGAATATTTATCCTGTTTCATTGGTTTATGTGCCTATTCTTGTGCCAATATCAGGTTATTTTGACTACTATAGCCTTATAGTAAAGTTTGAAGTCTGGAAGTGTGATACCACCTGCTTTGTTTCTTTTGCTAAGGATTTTGGGTATTCGTGTCATTTATGTTTCCATATCAATTTCTGTATTGTCGTTTCCAGGTTTGAGAAGAGTGATATTGGTAATTTAATGGGTATTGCATTGAATCTGTAGATTGCCTTTGGTAGGGTGGACATCTTAACAATGTTGATACTTCCTATCCATGAATATGGAATATTTTTCCATTTGTTTGTGTCTTCTTGGATTTCTTTGAGCAGTTTTTTGTAATTCTCATTGTAAAGGTCTTTCACTTCTCTGGTTAGGAAGATGCCAAGGCATTTTATTTTATGTTTGGCTATTGTGAATAGGATTGTGCTTTTAATTTGGGTCTCTACCTGCTTGTTGTTGGTGTATAGGAATGCAACCTGTCTTTTGCACATTTATTTTGTACCCTGAGACTTTACCAAAGTTCTTTGTCAGTGCAAGCAGGTTTTTGACAGATTCCCTTGAATTTTCAAGGTATAAGATCATATCATCAGCAAAGAGGGATAACTTGACTTACTCTTTTCCTGTTTGGATACCCCGGATTTACCTCTCTTGTCTAATTGCCTGAGCTAGGACTTCCAACACAATGTTGAACAAGAGGGGTGAGAGTGGGCAGCCTAATCTTGTTCCAGTTTTCAGGGGAAATCTTTCCAGTTTCTGTCCATTTAGCAATATGTTAGCTGTGGGTTTATCATAAATGGCATTTACTATATTGAGGTATGTTCCTTCTATACTGGGTGTTTGAGGATTTTTATCAAGAAGGGATGCTGGATTTTATCAAAAGTTTTTTCTGCATCTAATGATATAATCATGTGGTTCTTGTTTTTACATCTGTTGATGTATTTAATTACATTTATGGTTTTGTGAATGTTAAACCAGCCCTGCATCCTGGGGATGAAGCCTACTTGGTCATGGTGGATAATTTTTGAGGTGTGTTTTTGGATCCGATTTGCTAGAATATTGTTGAGAATTTTTGCATCTATGTTCATAAGGGATATTGGCCTGTAGTTGGCCTGTATGTTGGATCTTTACCTCGTTTGGTATTAGTGTGATGTTAGCTTCATAAAATGATTTGAGGATAATTCCATCTTTCTCAATTGCCTTGACTACTTTCAATAGGGTTGGTATCAGCTCCTCTGTGTATATTTTGTAGAATTCTGCTGGAAAGCCATCTGGTCCAGGGCTTTTTTTTTGTAGGTAGTTTTTGTATGACAGAATTTCCTGGGTTGTTATTGATCTATTTAGTTTCTCAACATCTTCTAGTTTCAACCTGGAAAGGTTGTGTGATGTCAGAAAGTCCTCCATTTCATTTAGGTTATCAAGTTTGTTTCCATATAGTTGTATATAGTAATCTCTGATAATCTTTTGTGTTTCTTCAGGGTCAGTTGTGATGTGATCTTTTGTAGTTCTGATTGTGTTTATTTGGGATTTTTCTCTCTTTTTCTTGGTCCTTCTGGCTAAGGATCCTTCAATTTTGTTAATTCTTTCAAAGAACCAGCTTTTTGTTTTAGATGTTTTCTATGATATTTTTGTCTTCTATGTCCTGTATTTGGGCTCATATTTTGGTGATTTGGATTCTTCTTCTAAAGTTGGGGTTTTGGTGGTCTTCTCTTTCCAGCTCCCTTAGGTGTTTTTTTTTTTTAGGCTCTCCACTTGTGATCTTTCCATTTTCTTGATGTGTGTTCATCGAGATATAAATCCCCCTCTTAGAACTGTTTTCATGGCATCCCAGAGGTTTTGGTAAGAGAAAGGTTACTTTTAAACTGACCTGCCAGGGATTATATAGGAACAATGAAATACTGTATAGAGGAGAGAAAAAGTCCAAATGAGTTAAAAGAATAAACAGGGAGATCATGGGCAAAGTGGTAAAGAACATCATGGAGGAAGAAGAAGACAGAAATACAAAGGGATGGTAAAGTCAGGGAGAGTAAGTCAAGTCAAAGAGATCCACACATAGCTGCATGGTATAGATTCAGCAGTGTGTGGAGATGGGGTCAGAGGGAGAAAAAGAGAAGAAATGAGTAGGAAAGAAGGGAAAGGGCATTCCAAGGCACTCAAAGAAGTGGAGCAAACTCAGCTGGTGCAAACACACTTCATTCCAGAGAGGAGTTTTGCACCCTGAATATCAGAGTTCAGCATGACCACATCCAGGTAGGTGTCCGGGTCACTGTCAATTGTCTGTCCTGTTCCTCTTTGTCTCTTCAGTATCCAAGGAATTTGCTCTACAGGTAGATGAAGAAGAATCAGAAGAAATGCCTGAGTTACTAGCTTATAATAGAGAAGGTAGTTAGGATTTAAATTACTTATTATCTAATTAAGGCTTTATTTTCCTGTCAACACCTATTCTTTCCCTGTTTCCCTCATCCATGCACCCATCCATCCATCTACCAATTCATCCATCCCTCCATCTCAACATATACAAACAAACAGACCATGCCGAGCTTTTGCCTACTTTTCTTGGGAGACACAAGCAGCAAAGAAAGAATGAACTCACACATTTTCTTTATCCAATCTACTTTTGATGGGCTTTAGGGCCAGTTTTACGTTTTTGCTATTGTGAATAGTATAGCAGTAAACATGCATGTGCAGGTGTCTTTTGTGTTAAACGATTTATGCTCCTCTGGGTATGTTCCCAGGAAAGGGATTGCTGGATCATATGGAAGGTCAGTTTCTAGTTCTTTTAGGAATCACCACACTGCTTTCCATAGAGGTTGAGCTAGCTTGCATTCTCACCGATAGTGTAGAAGCATTCTCTTTTCGCCACACCAGTGCCAGCATCTGTTGTTTTTGACTTATTAATAATAGGCATGCTTAACAGAGTTAGGTGGTATCTCATAGTATTTTTAATTTGCATTTCTCTGATGATAAGTGAGGCTGAGCATTTTTTTATGTGTCTGTTGTCTGTTTGTATGTCATCTTTTGAGAAGTGTCTGTTCATGTCCTTTTTCATTGGGTTGTTTGTGCTTTTTCCTCTCACTTTGGGTTCCTTGTAGATTGTGGATGTTGGACCTTTGTCAGAAGCATAATTTGCATTTTTTCCTAAGCTGTGGGTTGTTTCTTTACTTTCTTGATGGTTTATTTTGCATGCAAAAGCTTTTTAGTTTGATGTGGTCCCACATGTCTGTCTTAGCTTTTATGGCATTCACTTTTGGGGACCTGGTCAAGAATGTGTTGACTACTTTGATGTGAATAAGGCTGTTTCCTATATTTTCTTCTAGGATTCTCATATTTTGAGGTTTTACATTTAGGTGTTTGATACATTTTAAATTTACTTTTGTGTATGGTGATAGGTAAAAGTCCAGTTTCATGCTTCTGCATGTGGTCAGCCAGTTTTCCCAGTACCATTTGCTAAATATGGTCTCTTTCCTCAATTATTATTATTGGTGACTTTGTTGAAGATTGCATTTTTGTTTCTGGAATCTCGGTCCTGTTCCATTGGTCTCTGTGCCAATATTGTATCATTACCAAGCTGTTTTGTAACTGTAGTCATGGAATAAAGTTTAAAATCTGGAAGTGTGATACCTTCTGCTTTTTCCTTTTGATGAGATTGGTTTTGGGTATTCGTGCTCTTTTTTGTTTCCACAAGAATTTCTGTATTGTCATTTTCAAATTTGGGAAAAATGATGTTGGTAATTTGATGGGGATTGCATTGAATATATAGATTGCCTTGGGTAGGATGGACATCTTGACAATATCGATTCTTCCAATCCATGAAGCATGAGAATGTTTTCCATTTGTTTGCATCATCCTTGCTTTCTCTGAGCAGTGTTTTATAGTTCTCATTGTAAAGGTCTTTACTTCTCTGGTAAGGTGGATGTCATGGTATTTCTTTTTTTTTTTGTATGTGTGGCTTTTGTGGATGGGATTGTGCTTTTTATTTGGTTCTTCACCTGCTTTTTGTTGATATATAGAAATGCTGCTGTCTTTTGCATGTTGATTTTCTACTCCAAAATTTACCAAAGTCATTTTCAGTGCAAGGAGGCTTTTGCCAAATTCACTAGGGTTTTCAAGGTATAAAATCATACTGTTCACAAAGAGGGACAGCTTAACTTTCTCTTTTCCTATTTGAATACACATGATTTCCATCTTTTGCCTGATTGCTCCGACTAAGACTTCCAGTACTATGTTGAACAGAGGCTTTTCCATGTTTTTAAACATGCAAGCCTGGGTCCCACAATGACAATCGACAAACAAATGCAAACAAACCCGTTCTCTAATTGGGTAATATGCCCCCCCGCCCAGCTCCACTTTTTAAAAATTCAGTAGCTTTAGGTGGTTCAAATAGTTTTTCATTATATGGTTGCATTGTATAGTGCGAAGAAGTCTGGACTTTAAATGTACCCACCACCCCACCTGTGCACATTGTATCTGATGGGTGACCTTTTGTCCCTCCACCTCTTCCTCTTCTCCCCCTTTTGAGTCTCCAATATTTATAATATCATTCTCTATACCTTTGAGGATTCTTAGTTTAGCTTCCCCTTATAAGTGAGAACATACAGTGTTTGGTTTTCTGCTCCTGAGTTAGTTCACTTAGGATGATGTTCTCTGGTTTCACCTAAGTTCCTACAAAATACATGATTTCATGTTTTTGGTAGCTGAATAGTATTCCTGTTTTTCAGGATGCTTACTGAAGCAAAGTTAACCTTCAGGTCAGGTTGTTTGGGCAAGGGGGACATTCCAGTTTCTCAGGCTTTCTTAGCTTTCTTTTTTTTTTTTTGAGTTGAAGTCTCACTCTGTCGCCCAGACTGGAGTGCAGTGGCCGCTCCCAGCCACCACACCCTTGACCTGCTGGGCTCTGGCGATCCTTCCCCCTCAGCCTTCCAAGTAGCTGGAACTACAGGCACGTGCTACCACACCCGGCTAATTTTTTATGTATTGTACAGATGAGGTCTCACCAAGTTGCCCAGGCGGGTCTCGAACCCGCAGGCTCAGGCAATCCACTCACCTCAGCCTCCCAAGGCGCGGGATTACAGGCTGAGCCACCGAGCCTGGCTCTTAGTTTTCTTATTACTCATTTTCTTGCTGTGATGCCTTCTTGGTCATGAATCAAGACATCTGAGGAATTTTATTCCTTTCTGCAGTGGACAGCAATGTCGATAATGACATTCATGATGTGTCAGAGCCTCAGGAAACCTTGAACTCCTCACCAGGACATGGGCCAGGTAAGAAAGGGGGAGGATTGCTCTTCCTGATATTTAGGGTAAAAGGAGGCAAAATTCAGACTTGCTGTTTCCTGATGCATTTTACTCTGAGCACACTCCACAGTCAAAAGATCCAGTTTATACTTGAAACCCGTTACATAAATGTTCCTAAGTCCATGTTATAGTAAAAATATAGAGAAATACAGAGAAAAATAAGGTCTTTCAGTAAAAACTTGAATTTACACCTGTCACCCTTCATCTTCTTTAGAGAATAAAAAGTAAATATTATTGTTTGTTACTATTATTATTTTGTCCCTATATGTAAAAAGTCCCCAAAAGAAACATGTTCCTTCAGATCAACTACTCTCAAATCTAAATGCTAATGTTTGTCAAATAATTTTCATTAAGTTACTGCCTTACATAGTAATTATATAAAGGATTTTTGACAGATGAGATGTCATTTTATCTCCACAGCTATGAATTTCAACTAAAAAATTGTTGCTTATCCTATTTTATAGATGAGAAAGTAGAGGCACAGAAGTGTGTAAGTTCACATTAGTCAGGCAAGAGCATGACCAACATCCCTGATAACTTATTGTGGTGATGGTTGTGTGAGGCTGGCTGAGGATTAGGGTGAACAGGGTCACCAAGCAGAGTTCACACAAGAGATCCCAGGGGTCTTACAGCTTTCCAGGGGAGTGTGGCAGGGCCCAGTGCAAGAAGACTCTAATTCAACAAGAGTATTTCAGTGGCAAGAGCAGAGAAAAGCAGAGAGAAAAGATAGGATGGGTGCCTGTGACACAAGAGAGGTAGAAGAATGGAACCAGAAAGAAAAACATAGCGGGGCTCGGAGGCTCAACCTGTAATCCCGTGCCTTTGGGAGGCTGAGGTGAATGAATTGCCTGAGCCCGCGGGTTCGAGACCCGCCTGGGCAGGCGAGACCTCATCTCTACAATAAATCAAAAATTAGCCAGGCGTGGTAGTGCGCACCTGTAGTTTCAGCTACTTGGAAGGCTGAGGCGGAAGGATCGCCGGAGCCCAGCAGGTGGAGGCTGCAGTGGCCGGGAGCGGCCACTGCACTCCAGTCTGGGTGACAGAGTGAGACTCCAACTCAAACAAACAAACAAACAAACAAACAAACAAACATAGACACAAGTAGGAAATGTAATAAAGAGTACTCAGGAACATCCGAGAAGAAAAAGTCAGGGAGGGAATTTCAGAGTGAAGGATAGTGCTGCATAGCATAAAAATAGCAGCATATGCTGACCCAAAAATGAGAATGGAAAAGAAAGTAAGAGAGGGTGACAAGAAGGAAAACAGACAAAGCAAGGTTGTAGGAAACCTCAGACAAGGTCCTTAGAGCAACCATATTTTTATTCCACGGAAAAACTCACCTCTGCATGGAACACCAGAATTCAGCAGGAACACACTGAGGTCTGTTCGGTCTTCACTGTGTCTGGTTGATCATTTTCCTGTTTCTCTTCAGTTTCCTCTGAGCAAGTAGCTCTCCAAGAAACCAATGAAGAAGATGCCGAAGAGATACCCAAATGGCCACCAGGTTGTGAGGGAGGTAATCATCATTTAAATGACCAATTCACTAAATGTTTTGGCGAGTCTATATACAAGGACACTTTCCTTCCTTCTCTCCCCACCACCCACTACAACACAAACACTTGTGTTCAGCATGTAGTTGTTTTTCCCAGGTATATGGAAAGCAAGGAGGGTAGGGGGCTAAATACTTTATAGGGAGGGCTTCTTTATAGGGGGGCTCCTTCATAGGGGTTCTAAATCCTTTAGAGTGGAGGACTCAAGGGTGCAGGGTAATAAAAATGTAGATTAGAGACACTAAATAGAGTTGCCCAAGTGGGCAATTTATTTAAATGATTATGGAATCTACATCCTACCAGGGTACGGTTTGAGAAAAGGAAGATAATTTTAAACTGACCTTCCAGGGATTATATAGGAACAATGAAATATGGTGTATAGGAGAGACAAAGCAGAAGTGAGTTAAAAGAATAAATAGGAACATAATGAGCAAAGAGATAAAGAACGTCATGGAGGAAGAAGAAAATGGAAATGCAAAGAGATGGTAAAATAAGGAAGAATAAGTCAAGTCAAAGAGATCCACAAATAGCTTCATGGTGCAACAATGTGTGAAGGCGATGAGGGAAGAAAAGAAAAGGAGAGAGTAGGAGAGAAGGGAAAGGGACCTACCATGGTGCTCAAAGTAGTGGAGCACAGCTCGGTTGGTACAAACATACTCTATTCCCAGGGAGCCTTTCTGCACTTTGAGCATCAGAGTTCAGCGTGATCTCATTCAGGTAGGTATCCAGGTCACTGTCAATTGTCATGTTGCTTTTTTCTCTCTTCAGTGTCTAGGGAATTTGCTCTAGAAATAGACAAAGAAGAATTAGAAGCAATGCTCAAGTTACTGGCTTATAATAGAGAAGGTAATTAGGATTTGAATTACTTATTATATAATTGACTATATTCTCCCGTTAATACCTATTATTTTATCTTCTTCCCTGTTTCCTCCATCCAGTCATCCATCCATCCACCCGTCCATCCATCCATCCATCCACCCACCAATCCCTCCATCCTCACAAACACATACAAACAGACCATGCCCTGCTTTTGCTTGCTTTTTTGGGAGACACACGCATCAAATAAAGGATGACTTAGAATGGTTATAAAATTCCTGAATATAGAACAAAAGCAAAGAAAGGGAAGATGGAGAATGTAGATGGAGTCATTAGATGAAGGGGGATCTGAGTGATTGTGCATTTAATCTAAATTGACACAGAATCCAATGTCACCAAATTGGAATGTATTATCGGGGAAGAAAGGTAATTTTCTTTTTTTGTTTAAGATTTGTATTTATCTATTATTATTGTTAGTACTTTATTTTATTTTAAAGATGTGGGGTACAAGTCAGGAATATGTACATAAGTAGTCTGCATGCAGGTGAAGTTTGGGCCTCTGACTGGTCCTCACTTCCCTTGGTTTAGGATCAGGTACCCTTAGTGATGCTATGTACCCTTCCCTGCCCTGGCAGTGTCCTGCTACTGACAATCCCTCTCTTATAGTATTGTGATAAATATTCAGAACCCACTTATGAATGAGAACATGTGTTATTCATTTCTTTGTTCCTGTGATAGATCACTGAGTGTGATGGACTCTAATACATCTATCCAGTTTGCTGCAAAGTCCATATATTTGTCCTTCTTTATGGCTGTGTAATATTCTATCATGTATATGTACCACATTTTCTTTATCCAGTCCACTTTTGATTTGCAGCAGGGTTGGTTCTATGTTTTTGCTACTGTGAATAGTGCTGCAATAAACATGCATGTGCAAAAATCTCTTTTGTAGAATGATTTGAGTTCTCCAGGTATATTCCCAGAAAGGGAATTGCTGGGTTGTATGGAAGTTCAATTTATAGGTTTTTTTTAATTGCCACACTGTTTTCCATAGAGTTTGAACTAGTTTGCACTCCCACCAACTGTGTAGAAGAGTTCCCTCTTCACTGCACTTGCAGTACCCTTCGTTGTTTTTTGTTTGATTGATTGATTTTGTATTTTTATTATTTGTTCTTATTTTTTTTTTCTTTTAAATGTGTGGGGTACAATTCAGGGTTAGGTGAACAAATGTTTATTGTGCAGGTACCCTTGTTGATGAGGTATGCCATCCCCTGGCAGTTTCCCACTACTGCCAATCCCTTTCATATAGTATTATGATAGATGTTCAAGGTCCACTTATGAATGAGAACATGTGATACTCAGTTCTTTTGTTTCTGTGATAGATCACTAAGTATTATAGGCTCTAAGTCCATTCAAGTTGTTGCGAGGTTCATAATTTATGACTGCATAATATTCCATCATGTATATGTACCACGTATTTTTTATCCAGTCATCTTTCAATGGCGGCATGGTTCGTTTCATGTTTTTGATTTATTAATGATGGCCATTCTTATCAGAATTAGGTGGTATCTCAGTGTGGTTTTGTTTCCATTTCTTTGATGATTAGTGAGGCTGAGCATTTTTTCATGTATCTGTTGACTGGATGTCTTCCTTTGAGAAATGTCTATTCATGCCTTTTGCCCACTTTTTAGTATGGCTGTTTGTTTACTTTCCTTTCCACTTATTTGAGTTCCTTGTAGATCCTGGATGTCAGGCCTTTGTCAGATATACAGTTACCAGATATTTTTTCTCATTCTTTGGGCTGTCTCCCTCCTTTCTTGATGGTTTCTATTTCTGTGCAAAAGCTTTTCATTTTAATGAGGTCCCACTTGTCTATCTTATCTTTCATAGCATATCCTTTTTGAGTATGATCAAGAATTGATTGCCTACTCCAATGTGCATAAGGGTGTCTCCTGCGTTTTCTTCTAAGAATCTTATAGTTTGAGGTTTTGTGTTTAGGTCTTTGATCCATTTATAGTTGATTTTTGTATATAATGATAGGTAGGGGTCCTGTTTCATTCTTTTGCATGTGGTCAGCCAGTTTTCCCAGCATCATTTGCTAAACAAGGTCTTCTCTCCCCAGTGGTTGTTATTGATGGCTTTGTCAAAGATGAGTTCGTTTGCAGATTGGGTTTTTGCTTCTAGAATCCCTATCCTCTTCCGTTGGTCTATATGCCTGTTCTTGTAAAAATACCAGGCTATTTTGATTATTGTAGCCTTAAAGCAAAGTTTAAAGTCTGGAAGTGTGAAACCTCCCACTTTGTTCCTTTTGCTGAGGATTGTTTTAGCTATTTGTGCTCATTTTTGTTTCCATAAGAATTTGTGTACTGTCATTTTCAGGTCTGAGAAAAAAAGATGTCGGTAATTTGATAGGGATTGCTTTGAATCCCTAGATTGCCTTGGGTAGGATGGACATCTTGACAATACTGAGTCTGCCAATCCATGAGCATGGAATGTTTTTCCATTTGTTAGTGTCGTCCTTGATTTCTCTGAGCAGCATTTTGTAGTTCTCATTGTAAGGTCTTTCACTTCTCTGGCTAGGTGAATGCCAAGGTATGTGTGTTTGCTTGTTTGTTTGGCTAATGTGGATGGGTTGTTCTTATTTGATTCTCTGTCTGCTTGTTGCTGATATATAGAAATGCAAACGTCTTTTGCACATTTTTGTAACCCAAGATTTTACCAAAGTCTTTTGCAGTGCGAGGAGGCTTTTGGCAGATTCTTAGGGTTTTCAAGGTATAAAATGGTATCATCCACAAAGATGGCTATCTTAACTTTCTCTTTTCCCGTTTGGATACCGCTGATTTTTTTCTCTTGCCTGATTGCTCTGGCTAGGACTTCCAGCACTATGTTGAACAGGAGGGGCTTTTCCATGGTTTAAACATGTAAGCCTGGGCCCCACAAAGACAACTGGCAAACAAATGCAAAGGGACCAGTTCTCTAATTGGATAACATGTCTTTTTATTTGGCTTTTTAAAATTCAGTAGATTAGGGGATTCAAATAGTTTTTGGTTATACAGTTGCATTGTACAGTGGTAAAGAAATCCGAGTCTTAAGTGTACCCACCATCCCACCTGTACACATTTTACCTGATGGGTGATTTTCATCCCTCCACCCCTTTTCCTTCTCCACCTTCTGAGTCTCCAGTATCCATAATATCATTCTCTATACCTTTACAGATCCTTAGTTTGGCTTCCACTTACAAGTTAGATCACACAGTGTTTGATTTTCTGTTCCTGTGTTCGTTCAGTTAGGATGATGTTCTTCAATTCCATCCAAGTTGCTGCAAAAGACATGATTTCATGTTTTTGATAGCTGAATAGTATTATAGTGATGCCGTGATGGTTACTGAAGCAATGTTAACCTTCAGGTCAGGTTTTTTGGGCAATGGGAACATTCCAGTTTCTCAGATTTTTTTGGTTTTCTCACTACTCATTTTCTTGCTGTGATCCCTTCTTGGACATGAATCAAGACACCTGAGGAATTTCATTCCTTTCTGCAGAGGACAGCAATGTCTGTCATGACAAGTCTGATAGAGAGGAGCTTCAGGAAACCTTGAGTTCCCCGCCAGAGCATGGGCCAGGTAAGGAAGGAGAGGATCGCTCTCCCTGATGTGCAGGGTGTCAGGAGGCCGAGATGGTTGTCTGAGGTTGGTCAAAGATCAGGATGACCAGGGTCACCACACAGGAGATCCCCAGAGGCTTGCAGATTCCTGGGAGAGTAAGTCAAGGCCCCAAATTAGGAGACTCTTATTCAACAAAAGTATTTCAGTAACAAGGGCAGAAAAAAGCAGATAGAAAAGGTAGAATTGGTGCTTGCAATGCAAGAGATCTAGAAGAATAGAACCAGAAAGAAAAACAGAGACACAATGGGAAATGGGATAAAGGACACTGAGGAACAACTGGGAAGAAAAAGAATGGGAATTTCAGAGAGTCAAGGAGATGGACAGTGCGGCATGACATAGAAACAGCTTGTGTGGTGACCAAAAAATGAGGAGAAAGAAAGTAGCAGAGGGTGACAGGAAGAAAAACAGGCAGAGCAAGACTCTAGGATGGCTCAGGCGAGGTACTTGGAGCAAGCTTGTATTGATTCTAAGGTGAAGTTCACCTAAGCACGGAACACCAGGATTCAGCAGGAACGCACTGAGGTCTGTTCTGTGGTCACTGTGAGGTCACTGGGTTAGTTGATCATTTTCCTGTTTCTCTTCAGTTTCTTCTGAGCAAGTAGCTCTCCATGGAACTAATGGAGAAGATGCCGAAGAGATACCCAAAGGGCCACCATGTGGTGAGGGAGGTAATTATGATTTAAATGACTGACAACTTGATGAAATGTTTTGGCCTGTCTGGACACAAGGAACACTTTCTTTCCTTCTCTCCCCACTACCTCATACAACACGAGCACACTGTTGTTCAACCTCTGATTGTTTTCCCCAGGTGTGTGTGAGGCAAGGACAAATGGATGGGCTAGGTTTTTTAAAAAGGGTCTCCTGAGTGAAAAAGTTAAGGGTGCAGAGTAATAAAAATGTATGGAGGCACTAAATAGAGTTTCCCAAGTGGGTCCAATTTTATTTAAATGAATATGGAATTGACATCCTACCAGGATAGCTTTTGAGAAGAGAAAGATGCTTTTAAAACTTACCTACCAGGGATTATATAGGAACAGTGAAATACTGTGTAGAGGAGAGACAAAGTAGAAGTGAGTTAAAAGAACAAACAGGTAAATAATGGGCAACAAGTAAAGAACATCATGGAGAAAGAAGAAGACAGAAATGCAAATGTAAAGAGATGATAAAGTAAGGGAGAGTAAGTCCGGTTAAAGAAATACACACGTGGCTTCATGGTACAGATGCAGCAATGTTGAAGGTGGGGTTAGAGGGAGAAAAAGAGAAGAAGAGAGCAGGAGAGAGGGGAAGGGGGCCCACCAAGGTACTTAAAGGTTTGGAGCAAAATTCAGTTGGTGCAAACTTCATTCCCAGGGAGCAGTTTTTTAACCTGAATATCAGAGTTCAGTAAAATCACATCCAGGTAGGTGTCCAGGTCACTGCCAATTGTCTGTCATGTTCCTCTTTGTCTCTTCAGTGTCTAGAGAATTTGCTTTACAAATAGGTGAAGAAAAATCAGAAGAAATGCCTGAGTTACTAGTTTATAATAGAGAAGGTAATTAGGACTTAAATTACTTATTATCTAATTAAGACTTTATTTTCGGGTCAACACCTATTTTTTCATCTCCTTCCCTGTTTTCCTATCCATCTATCTGCCCATCCATCCATCCATCCATTCAACCATCCATTCATCCTCATCTACACACACAAACAGACCATGCCCAACTTTTGCCTGCTTTTCTTGGGAGACACAGCAGGAAATAATGAGCTTAGAATGGTTAGTTTCCCTGCGCATAGAACATAGGTAAAAAGAGAGAGAGAATGGAGAATGTATTAATAGATGGAGTCATTCAATTAAGGGAAACTCAAGTGATTGCTAATTTTTACCTAAATAGACATGGAATCCCAATATCACCAGGTTGGGATGTGTTATCAGGGAGGGATAACACACATCAACCCACTTTCCCAGGGTTATGTTAAGAGCATCAACATAATGAAGACATTGCAATACAGAAAATGCAAGGGAAAGACTTCTGAGATGCACCTGGGAAGAGAAAGGGTGTCTGCTCATTTGTTAGAGCAAAAAATGAGATCTTTGATGATATGGGAGAAAGATGTGACAGGATATATAGAAAGACTAAACTTGAAAATTTTAGATTTATATTTTAAGTTGAAAAATTACAAAGTCAACTGGAGAAAACAGAGACTGGGAAATAAACACCATGGAAGAAAGGAGATAAACTCAGTCATCAAACCAGGTCCAGAATTTAAAAGGTAGAAAAAAATGATATTAAGAGAAAAACATAGAAGGGAAATGCTAGAAGACAGCAATGGTCAGGGAAAGGCACACAAATTACACAGAGAGAAAAAGATACTGGAGAATGAGTGAAAAGTCGGTAGAGGTGCCAACTGTTTACATGGAAGAGAGAATATTTTGGGACATTGTACCCATTGTGGAAAGAGTCACTGGACAGAGACAAGTTCTGGCCCAAGGATGAAGCATGTTAGCAGTGAGTTTTCAGATTATAGTTTCCCCAAATATCAAAGTGGTATCTCAGAGGTAATCAACCTGCCCAAGCCTTCTTTGATCAAAACAGAATAATAGTTATTTATTTAATCAAGAGTGATCTTCAAAACACTTTATAAGTACTACAGGAAGTTACATGGGTATAACAACCTTGATCCTTTTAAATCTCAGTTTTCCTAAGTAATCAAAACCTATAAATATAACATAGGAATCATTTTGACAAATGTAGAATCTTTGTTTCTTAAGCTAGTGACTAAAAATGCAAAGAAAGGCCAGACTCGGTGGTTCAGCCTGTAATCCCAGCACTTTGGGGGGACTAGGTGAGTGGAATGCCTGAGCCCACGGGTTCAAGACCCGCCTGGGCAACTTGACAAGACCTCATCTCTACAATAAATCAAAAATTAACTGGGCGTGGTAGCGCGCGCCTGTAGTTCCAGCTACTTGGAAGACTGAGACGGAAGGATTGCCAAAGCCCAGCAGGTCGAGGCTGCAGTGGCCGGGAGCAACCACTGCACTCCAGTCTGGGTGACAGAGTGAGACTTCAACTCAAAAAATATTAAAAAATAAAATAAAATAAAAATGCAAAGAAGAACCTTCTGCGATGCCATTGCTTCTTCTTATAGGAGTCAAACTTGATGAAAAGGTTACTTGAAACAGTGTGTTCAGGGTCATGAGTGGACATTATATTGTAGAGGAAAAATGAAACAAGAAAACTAATACCTTAAGCAGGAGAGTATATTACTCTTAGCAACAGCATGAAAACTTCCCTGATTACACTAGAAAATTTAGACATATCAAGAAAAGTCAAGCATCCCAAATCAAGTTATGCTGGATAAAAACATTGCTTTTTTAGACCTTCAAATTAAACATTTCTACACTAGGCCACAACAGCAGTTAGAATCACAAGAAAAAAGTTACAGGAGATGCTGAAAAAGTAAAAGGAGAGAATTATTATCCCAGGCTTTCTCAAAAGGAGAAAAAGCTGAAAGCCATAAGATACAACAAAAGTGAAACTTTGAGATGTGAATCTGAAAAGGTGGTGTGTAGGGGTGGGGGTGGGAGAGTGGTCTCAGTCTGTAGCGGTTGCCCAGGCTGGAGTGAGGTGGCATGATCAGGGCTCACCACAATTTCAACTTCCTGGGCTCAGGCAATCTTTCTGCCTCAGCCTACCCAATAGTTGGGAGTACAGATATGCGACCTTAAACCTGGCTAATTTGTAGAGATGCTGAATCACTGTGTTGCCCAGGCTGGGAGAGCAGTTTTCTTTCTTTCTCTCTCCCTCTCTCCCTCTCTCCCTCTTCCCCTACTTCCTCCCTCCCTCTTCCCTCACTTCCTCCCTCCCTCCCTTTCTTCCTTCCTTTTTTCAAAACAGTCTACAGAATTAAAAACCAAAGCCTCTCGTAATTTTAATAAGCGCAAATCTATACCTTAAAGAAAACTTTGTTTTACCATAGGAGACCAATCTGAGGAAGACTAATAATTCATTTTTGATTATAGCCAATTTAATCACATATAAAACTTCTTTCATAAATTTTCTTTTGTGAACCTTTTTCATGACTTCCATGCATCTATGACATGTTTAGGATTTTTGATTTACTCTATATGCTATCTTTTTAAAACAACCAGACATTTTACTTTAGGACAAAAATTTACCATATAAGATTCTTTCTCAAACAAAACTATTCTCTTTTTAATAATATTTTATTGGAAAAATACATCATCATATTTATAACTTTTTTCACACTTCTTACTGGTTTCTTTCTACCTTTTTTAATGAAATAAATAACAAGTAAATACAAACTTCCAAACACACACACACAGAACAAGATAAAGATCTTATGGTTTTTACCTCAGAATTCAAGTCATGAGATAGTAATGCAAACTCACCACTTTGTTAAACAGAGCTGGATTTAAATTATTTTGACAACATTGGGACCTGCTCATGTGGCTAAACTTTGTTCTGAGAGGAATCCCATGAAAGCAATGAACCAAAATTTTGGTTAAGCAGATTCCATGGCAGTTTGATTTATCAAAATTTCTTTTACTTTTTTTGGCCTCAGCTTTAAATGAGTTTTAATGTTTACATTTTATCTAGAACTGGTTGAACTGTGTAAATAAAAAAATTTTTTAAAAGCAATCTTCAGGTAGCCTTGAATTAGTAGTAGCAGAAACAGTGAGTATTATCTCAACACCAGTAGCTTAATAATAGCAGTTTCAAAGCAGGCAGAAGAGAAAAGAGAAATACATAGAGAGCTTTAGAAAATTTTGCCAAACTCTGAGGTTGCAGGATAAAAGTTTGCGCTGTGAATTTTTAAATAATAACTTGCCCATCAGTTTCAAATGTGCAAAAGAACAGAACATAATATATAATTAGCTGAAGTCTCAGAAAACCTGGCATGCCTTTTAACTTTTCAGGTTTTTATTTTATTTAAGTTTTATTTATAACCCCCCCAATGTACCTGGCATTCCTGTGTTGTCACATGTCCCCTCTGTCCTTACCCCTCCCTCCCTATCAGTCCCCAGTGAGTGTCGATCCCTCCCTTGACTAATATGGTTAATGGTTAAGGCTCACTTATGAGAGGGAACATGCGGTATTCAGTTGTTTTTGTGACAGTTCATTTAGGAACTAAGTGAAATGTACCACATTTTCTCCCATCCAATTTGCTGCTTCATGACTTTGCTTTTCCTTATGACTGCATAATACTCCATGGTGTATATGTACCACATTTTCTTTATCTAGTCCACTTTTGATGAACAATAGTGTTGGTTCCATGTTTTTGCTATTGTGAATAGCGTGGCAATAAACATGCATGTGCAGGTGTCTTTTTTGTAGAACGATTTATGTTCCTCTGGGCATTTTCCCAGCAGAGGGATTACTGGATCATATGGAAGGTCACATTGATTTTTGTAGTCCGAGTCTTTCTTTACCAAAGTTATTTATAACTGCCAAGAGGCTGTTGACAGACTCTGTAGGGTTTTCAAGGTATAAAATCATATCATCTGCAAAGAGGGACAGTTTTACTTCCTCTTGTCATATTTGGATATCCCTAATTACCTTCTCTTGCCTGATTGCTCTGGTTAGGACTTCAAGCACTATGTTGAACAGGATAGGCTCTTCCATGTTTTTAAACATGTAAGCCTGGGTCCTACAAAGACAATTGACAAGCACATGCAAATGAACTGGTTCTCTTTGGATAATATGTTTTTTTTTTTCCGCTTTTAAACAATTCAGTAGCTTTAGAGGGCTCAAATAGTTTTTGGTCATATAGTTGCATTGTACAGCGGCAAAGTATGGGCTTTAAGTACCCACCACCCCACCTGGGCACATTGTATCTGTTGGGTGATTTTTTGTCTCTCTATCCTTCCCCCTTTCCCTTTTTTAAGTCTCCAATGTCCACAATATAATTCCCTATATCTTTGCAGGTCCTTAGTTGAGCTCTCACTTATAAGTGAGATTATGCAGTGTTTACTTTTTTTATACCTGAGTTAGTTCACTTAGGATGATGTTCTCCATTCCATCCAAGTTGCTGCAGAAGACATGATTTCATGTTTTTGATAGCTGAATAGTATTCCAGTGATGTAGTGATGGTTTGGAGCAAAGTTAACCTTCAGGTCAGGTTGTTTGGGCCAGGGGGACATTTCAGTTTCTCAAGCTTTCTTGGTTTTCTCATTACTCATTTTCTTGCTGTGATGCCTTCTTGGTCATGGATCGAGACATCTGAGGGATTTCATTCCTTTATGCAGTGGACAGCAATGTCAATCATTGCACGTGTGATGTAACAGAGCCTCAGGAAGCCTTGAACTCCCCGTCAGGATGTAGGCCAGGTAAGAAAGGGGAGGACTGCTCTCCCTGCTGTGCAGGGTTTCAAAAGGCAAAATTCAGAGTTGCTGTTTTCTGATGCATCTTACTCTAAGCACTCTATGCAGTTAAAAGATTCAGTATGTTCAGAAACCCAGCAATTCACACAAATGTACCTAAGTGCATGTTATAGTAGAAATATAGACAAACACAGAAAAAGATGAGGTCTCTCATGACTATTAACAGTAAAAACTTGAATTTACAACTATTCACATTTCATCTGTCTTAGAGAATAAAAAGTTATTATTATTCTGTTTGTTACTATTATTATTTTGTCCCTATCTGTAGAAAGCCCCCAAAAGAAACATGTTCCTTCAGATCCACTACTCTCAAATCTAAATTCTAATTTTTGTCAAATATTTTCCATTATTTTACTGTCTTATATATTAATTATTCAAAGGATTTTGGCAAACAAGATATCATTTCTTTTCCACAACTATAAATTTAGGTGAAAAGATTGTTGCTTATTCCTATTTTAAAGATGAGGAAGTAGAAGCACAGAAGTGTGTAAGTTCTTTTACCAGGTCAAAGTAGTCAAGCAAGAGCATGACCAGCATCCCCAATGACTCACTGTGGTGATGGCTGTGTGAGGTTGGCTGAGGATCAGGGGGCCAGTGTCCCCAAGCAGAGTTCACACAATTAACTCTGGAAGCTTGCAGGTTCCCAGAAGAGTGAGCCCAGCACCAGGAGACTCTAGTTCAAAAAAAGTATTTCAGTGGCAAGAGCAGGAAAACAGCAGAAAGAAAAGGTCCAATTGGTGCCGGTGATGCAAGAGATCAAGAAGAATGGAACCAGAAAGAAAAACACAGACACTAGTAGGACATGTGAAAGAGGACACTGAAGAAAAACAGAGAAGAAATTTCAGAGCCAAGGAGACGTTCTGCATGAGGTAGAACAGCAGCATGTGTTGACCAAAAAATGAGAAGGAGAAAGAAAGTAGCAGAGGGATGACAAGAAGAAAAACAGGAAGAGCAAGGCTCTAGGAAGCCCCAGGCAAGGTCCTTGGAGCAACCATATATTTATTTCAAGGAGAAGCTCACTTGAGCATGGAACACCAGAATTCTGCAGGAGCACACTGTTCTGTCATCACTGTGTCTGGTTAATCATTGTTCTGTTTCTCTTCAGTTTCCTGTGAGCAAGTAGCTCTCCAACAATCTAATGGAGAAGATGTTGACGAGATACCCAAATGGCCACCAGGTGATGGGGAAGGTAATTATGATTTAAATGACTGATTACTTCTCTAAATCTGTATACAAGAAATACTTCCCTTCCTTCTCTCTCCACCACCCCCTATGACACAAACACATTTTTGTTCAGCCTGTGGTTTTTTTCCTCAGGTGTGTGGAAGGCAAGGAAGAAAGGGGGACTGAGTCCTTTAAAGGGGGGTTCCTGGGTGGAGAACTTCAGGGTGAAAAGTAAAAGAAATGTAGATTACAGGCAGCAAATGGAGTTGTCCAAGGGAGTCCAATTATATTTTAGTGAATTTGGATTCTACATCCTTCCAGGATAAGGTTTGAGGAGAGGAAGATACTTTTAAACTGACCTGCCAGGGATTATATAGGAACAATGGAATACTGTGTATTGGAGAGACAAAGCAGAAGTGACTTAAAAGAATAAACCAGCCGGGTTCGGTGGCTCAACCTGTAATCCCGCGCTTTGGGAGGCCGAGGTGAGTGGATTGCCTGAGCCTGTGGGTTCAAGGCCTGCCTGGGCAACTTGGCAAGACCTCACCTCTACAATAAATCAAAAAATCAGCCGGGCGTGGTGGCGTGTGCCTGTAATTCCGGCTACTCCGAAGGCTGAGGCGGAAGGATCGCCGGAGCCCAGCAGGTCGAGGCTACGGGGGCCGGGAGCGGCCACTGTACTCCAGTCTGGGTGACTGAGACTCCAACTCAAAATATAAATAATAGATAAACCGTGAGATAATGGGTAAAGAGGTAAAGAACATCATGGAGAAAGAAGAAGACAGAAATGCAAAGAGAAGGTAAAGTCAAGGAAAGTAAGTTCAGTCAAAGAAATCCACACATAGCCTTCATAGTACAGATGAGCAATGTGTGAAGGTGGGGTTAATGGGAGAAAAAGAGAAGGAAAAACCTGGTGAAAAGGATACTTATCATAACTTACACAGATCATTTATGATATGTGTGGGCTTTTTGTGTCCTATTCGCTCTTTTAAAAGTAACCAGGCATTTCACTTTAGAACAAAAACTTACTATGCAAGATTCTTTCTCATACAAAATTATTCTTTTTTATAATTTCTTTTTTGCCAAAAATACACCATCATATCCATAACTTTTCTTCACATCCTCACTTACTGGTTTCTTTCTGCCTTCTTTTATACATAACTTTTGAATACAAACATCTAAACACGTATGAGGGGGGACCCAAAAAACCCTGGAATTTTTAAATAAAAAATTGTGTATTTATTCTTACATGTTTAAACCTCAGTCACCTTCAAAGTACTCTTCATTTGATACAATATACCTATTAAGACACCTTTCCACTACTCAAAACAGTTTTTGAACTTGTTAATTTTGATGCCTTTTAGTGCTTCTGCTGTTGTTTTTTTTTTTTTTCACCTCTTCCACATCAGCAAACCATTTTCCTTTGAGGACTTTTTTCATCCGGAAAAAAAAAAAAAAGTTGCTTGGGGTTGAGGTGAATAGGGAAGGCAGGGCATGGGGGACAGTCTGTTTTGGGTTAAAAACTGCAGAGCACTCAGTGTGGTATGGGCAGGTGTGTTTGTAAATCACCCATCATGAAATGGGCAAGCGGTTGAAAGAATCTCTTCCCAGAAAATTCACTGAAGCCAAACACAGCCTTTCCCAACAATGCTAGCTGGTACACTGATGCCAATGGGTTACTAGAACACTAACCTAGTGGAGGAAACCTGTACTAGAAGGAGCCCACTCTCCAAAAGATAATTCTGTTTTTGTTTGTGTTCCCTCTTGTACACACACACACACACACAATGATCTTACAGTTTTTACCTTGGAATTCTAGCTATGAGATAGCGATGCAGACTTAACACTGTGTTAAACATAGCTGGAATTATTTTCGACAACATTGGGACCTGTTCACATGACTAAACTTTATTTTTCCCGACAGGTAATCCCATGAAGGCTGGGAACCAAAATTTTGGGTAAAGCAGTTTCCATGGCAGTTTGATTTTTAAAAGTCTCTTTTATCCTTTTTTTGTTTCAGCTTTAAATGAGTTTCAATGTTTACCTTTTAGCTATCACTGGCTGAACTGTATAAATAAAAACACAATCTCCGGGTAGTTTCGAATTAGTAGTATCATAAACAGTGCGTTTTATCTCAACACCAGTAACTTAATAACAGCAGATTCAAAGCAGGCAAAAAAGAAAAGAGGGGCATAGATAGAAACCTTTAGAAGATTCTTCTTAGTTGTGTCCTGGCAGGCTAATAATTTGAGCTTTGAATTTTTTTGCCATCAGTTCTTTTTTTCTGAGTTGGAGTCTCACTGTTGCCCAAGCTGGAGTGCTGTGGCACACTCACAGCCACCCCAGCATCGACCTGCTGGGCTAAGGCGATCCTTCTGCCTCACCCTTCCAAGTAGCCGGAACTACAGGTACGTGCTACTACACCCGGCTAATTTTTGATTTATTGTAGAGACAAGGTCTCGCCAAGTTGCCCAGGCTGTGTGCACAAAAACAGGCTGTAATATATAACCAGCCTGAGTTCCAGAAAACCTGGCATGCCTTTGAACTTTTTGTGTTTTTAAACATGTAAGCTTGGGTCCAACAAAGACATCTGACAAACAGATGCAAGTGAACTGGTTCTCAAATTAGGTAACATGTCTTTTAATTAATTAGTTAAGTTAATAAATTATTTATTTATTGAGACAGGGTCTCACTCTTTCATCCAGGCTGGAATGCAGTGGCACAATCATAACTCACTGCAGCCTCAGCCTCCTTGGCTCAAGCAATCCTCTTGCCTCAGACTCCCAAGTAGCTAGCTAGGACTACAGGTACATGCCCAGCTAATTTTTTTTTTTTTTTTAGTAAAGAGGAGTCTTGCTATGTTGCTCAAGCTGGTCCTAGACTCATGTGATCCTCCTACCTTGACCTCCCCAACTGCTGGAATTATAGGCATGAGCCACTGCACCCAGCCAGTAACATGTTTTTAAACATGCAAGCCTGGAGCTCATAAAGACAAATGACAGACAAATGCAAACAGGTTACCCCAGTCAAATACAGGAAAATATCCATATGGAGGGGAAGGGACTTCCCAGTTGTACACACTGGAGCAACTTACCCTATTTCCAAATAAAATTCACCACTTAGAGAGGTTTGTCAGTTCCTTGCTCCAATGTCTGTGTGCTAAGGCACTGGAGCAGCTGGTGCCATTGCAGGCAGTTGAGGGGGAGAAAAAGTCTAGAAAGTCAAAGAGAAACACAGTGCCTTCATAATATAGCAATAAAAAATGTATACATGATTTTAAAAAAAGACCACCACTTAATATCAAACAAAAAGCTGAATTAAGGGACAGTTGTGTTTGTTGGTCACAATTTCTCTGAACAAGTATTCATATTGTAGAGTGTTTGAGACTGTGTGGAGTTTAGGGATTGGTGGGCTTTCAGAAGTGGAATTGGTTAACAGTGAAGGCAGAACTGGATTGTAGCTCTGGTACCAATTGGTTGACTTTCCAAAGCATGAGGAAGTGAATAGTTGGCTGGCTTTCAGAGGCCTATATGCAGCTCAGAAGCTATCATCGAGTAGTTGGGATGATTCTAGTTCTTATTTGTTCATGCGGCCAAAGAATAATGGATTTTCCTAGGAGTGTAGACACTTTTAATTCTCAGCTTGCCCTTTAGGAATTGCCTTATGCAAAGCTGCAAGAGGTACCAACAAGTATTGCCCACATCCAAAATATCTTTTCTTGAAGGAGACACTGGAAACAAAATCCTAAGATTCCTCTTCATCTAGTGAGAGTTACAGAGTTGCTGGATTGAAGTGTTATGCCTGTGAAGGATGACAAAAGAAAGAGAAAGTTAATTGAATGGCAAAAGCTGTTGAGTATTTCCAATTAGCAATAGAATTATACTGCATGCAACACTATTTAAAGGTGACCGAAGTACAAGATCTCAAGAAGCTTGGACTAATGTAGTCATCTGCAATTGCTTTTGAGGCAACTAGAATAAGCTGTGGCTACTTGCAATGGACCTTTCATGTCTGTCATGTTTTGAACTAATATCCCTAGGGTATGGCCTATTTTTATGCACACACAAAAGAAAAAGATTATGATAATATAGAGGATTCAGTGTATGTGGTTGTTGAAAGACTATTTTAAAATCTTGAGAATTTGTTCAATTTCTGTGTTCTGTGAGAATGGCTACATGATAATTGACATAGTCAAATGTAGAGAGGTCTGACTCTTCAGAAAAGGCTGACCCTCCATTGTCTTCAAGATTCAGTTAATCTTTTTGTCTTTTAGTCATTGATTTTTGAGTAATTATGGATACTTCATAACATTTTCTTTCTTTTTTTTTTTGAGTTGGAGTCTCACTCTGTTGCCCAGACTGGAGTGCAGTGGCCACTCCCAGCCACCGCAGCCTCAACCTGCTGGGCTCCGGCAATCCTTCTGCCTCAGCCTTCCGAGTAGCCAGAATTACAGGCGCGCACTACCACGCCCGACTAATTTTTAAATTTTATTTTACTGTAGAGATGAGGTCTCGCCTGCCCAGGTGGGTCTCGAACCCGTGGGCTCAGGCAATCCACTCACCTCAGTCTCCCAAAGGCGCGGGATTACAGGCTGAGCCACTGAGCCCGGCTAACATTTTCTTATAAGATATCACTTCTTTAGCCAGTAGATCACTGAAAAAATAATGTTTTTGTTTGCTTCAAAATTAGAGATTTTCCTTAGAAATTTTGTATCACTTTTTAGCCAGTTCAATGAGTAAATTAAAAAGTATCTAGATCTAGAAAATGTAAGAGAGATAATCTATGCACTAGATCAAAGAGGATGCACATATGAACTTTATATCCTTTATATCTTTTTTAAGACTTGATAGAGTTTGCTTGTATTCATTTTGCATTGCTGCATAACAAATCATCACAAATGCAGTGGCTTAACACAATACCTACTTATTATCTCACAGTCCTGCAGGTCAGAAGTCTGGGTGAGCTCAATTCAGTTCTCTCCTTAAGGTCTCACAGGCTGAAGCTAAGATGTCAGTCTAACTAAGATCTGGAAAAAAGATATTGTAATCAAGTTTATCTAAGTTGTTGACTTAATACAGTTCCTGGTTATAGGCTTGAGGTCACAGTTTTGTTGGCCAGGCTTCACTCTCAGCTCCTAAAAGGCCACTCACCTTCCTAGACACATGGCCACTCCATCTTCAAGGCAGTAATCATGTGTGAAATCCATTTTCCACTTTGAATATGACTTCTCTTCTTCTTCCAGCTGGAGAAACTTTTCTGCTTTTGAAGGACTCATGTGACTTGATGAGGCCCATCATGATAATCTCTCTTTTTTTAAGGTTTACTCTGCTATGAAACATAGCCTAATCATGGAGGTGATATCTCATTATGTTCATAGTCCCTCCTGGGATTAGGAAAAAAAATATTTGGGGGCCATTTTAGAATTCCGTCTATCACAATGAGGCTAAGGCAATCCTTAGAAACTAACTTTCCAATAAGCCATTGATTTTCCCAAGCAAATAATATTGGCTATCTTTATCAAATGGGACATTAAACAAAACTGAACATAAGTATACCAAAGAATTGCCTTTAGGTAACACAGAAGAGATTATAGTAATTGGGTTGGGTTAGGTGATACAGAGAATTGAGGTATGCCTACTTTGTTCATAGCTTGCAGACTTGAATAATGAGTTGTGTAGGTATATCTATGTTCAGCTCAACTATAAATAGATCATGTGTCAAAGAATTTTACAGGACTTCTAAAAGTAATCTTTCTTCTGTACATTTAATCTGGAAGTTTTATTTACAGAATAGATTTATTAAGATAAGGGCAAGAGTTAGAATCACAATGAAAGCACACAGAGAAAGTGAAAGCTTTGTCGGGGAGAGATAATGGCTCGGCTATGAATGTGGAAGGTGTGTTTACACATGAGTGGTACATTTGGTTCACCAACCAAGCAGAAACAACATAAAAGAGACATATGATTAACTACATGACAATAGTTGACTACAGATTTCATACTAAGTGAAACAATTTTCTTTCACAAATTGACAAGACACATGGTGCCTTCATGAGGGTTATGGTGAGGGACTCAAGACCAAGGGCAGTCAAACATCTTTGCACAGTTTGGCTACTCTCTGGAAGATCCACAACCCTTAGTTTTGGTGGCTAGCTTGGATTATCAGACCTTGCCCACCACTTTTTTGCTTTGAATCACTCTCTTCTATCATTTATAAAGCACAGGAAAATCAGGAACAAAAGCATGAGATAAACTTCTTAAAAAGTAGACACACAAAAAAGTTAGAGTAAATGAAGTAGTGGAAGTATAAGCTCATTAGTGGAGAGAATGTTTGCTAAATGCTGTACAACCAAACCAAAATATCTAATTATTTATAATTGATTGCATATCCATATTTAAATAATAAGATAAATTCAGAAATAAGAGCTCAGTGAAACAAGTCAGAGCTCACATTGTTGTTGAGACCAGTTCACTTGGCAGTGGATCAGGAAGATGATCTGAACTGGGCACAAATGGCCTGAGATTCATCCCTTCTGGTCCAAGGGCCCCCACAGGACACTCCCACACAAAAGTCTTCAAGGTGATCTTGGAACTGTAGTTTTGAAGGGCAAGGCCACCATTCATTATCTGAAGCTAAAAGCTGACATATTACTTGCTAAGTGAGGCATCTGATGGAAGGAATCCTGTGCTTATAGGACATAGGCGCTGTAAAAAAGGAAACTGCTCATTTTATAGAGTTTTGGGAAACATAGTTCAAAGACTGCAGACTTTCTGAAACAGGAGTGTTTATGAGTAGGTTAGTATTTAGCAACTGATGAAGGCCTTCTGGAGGGGGCTGCTGTTGATTGGCTGCTTTTAGACATGTGGAACTGCCACTGGAGGGCTGGCTTTCAGAAATGTGGTTAGTGATATAAGCAGTGTGGCCAAATCAGATGAGTTAAGATAGTTACTTTTTACTATTTTCAAAGAACAGTTTGCATTTTGGAAACAAAGAATGATAACAACTTTTTTACTCTCAGAGCTATAAGTAGAAAAATAAAATTAGAGAAAAAGAAGAATGAGATGCCAAACATGGGGAAAGCATGACTCTGTTATATATGTGATTATTAGAACAGGTATTTTTTTTTTCCAGAGAAAAGTCTTCTTAGCTCAAAATATCACTGTGTAGTATGACAGCACTGGGAACTCTTCCCTGGTCACTCTCTTGGGATCCATGGACAATAATTTTCTTGTTTCTCTTTAGTATCTGGTAAACTAGAAGATCGCCAAATGAATAAAGAAGGACAATCAACAGACCTTACTTCTAGGCTACTACACTGTGAAGGACCAGGTAATTATGACTAAAAAATAATGAAAAAAGAAACAGAATTCTAATAAAGAGAAAAATACAGGGCAGAAAAAAGGGGGACTTGAAGAGTCAAATATAAGGAGGAGCAATGAAAGAAGATTTCAGAGGAAAAAGTAACAAAGGGAGAAAAAAGGTTATAGAAAAGAGGATAATTGGGGCAAATGAAAAGTCTTCATGTGCGGGGGGCCAGCTCCTGCAGATATTGGAGGTCCCTGGTAGGAAAGATGACATCGGCGATTAAACTGGAGGGATAGATATTAGAAAGAAGAAAGAAAGAGACTGGACTCTGTCTAGTGCAGAAGAGCCATTTAATGAGACAAACCATAAGCCTTTTATCTTAAATTTTCATGGGTTAAATCACAAGACTTTTATGTGAGCACAAAGCCAGGTGGATGAGGGACGTCCCCCACCCACCAGGTGGTTCCTCAAGCATGAGGAAGGACAATCCCCAAATTATCTCACTGTTCCTTATGTTTGGTTAATGTTTCTCAAAAGCAATACAACAATTCTAACATCATAATATTTTAATAGTCAATAATTTTTAAAGTTTACGTATACACAACACCTAATGACTAACTTAAATCCTAATGCCTTTTTATTTTATGCTAATTTTACCTATACAATTGTTATAGAAACTCTTAATTATAGCTCAAACCAGTTCTTAAAGAATGTGACCCAGTCCAAAGATCCCGCTGGGCCATTTCTAGGAACAACTGATTACAATCTCTTAACAAAATGGCTATTCTAAAATCCTATATATCTATCTTAATTTTTGTAAAAGTTTTTAATTTCTAATCCTAATATATAAAACTGATCAACAGCAATAAAGCTTCTAAAAATAAAACCCAAATATAAACTGTAAATTGTACTAAAGCCAAAACCGCAAATGTAGAAAATGGGAACAATGAAATTTCTAAAGTTAGCTGTATTCTTATTAAACCTCAAAATATCATGTTTGATCATGCTTGAACTAACATAATTTCCTGATGTTAGCATGATCTATTCTACAATACTTTCTGTGAGTAAAATAAATTCAGTTTCTATAATAAGTAGAAAAACCCTACACTAATTGTAGCTAAAACTGGTTTAAAAGAATGCAGCCCAGTCCAAAGTATGCACTGGGCCCTTAGGAATGTGGCCCAGCCCAAAGTTCGTGCTGGGCATTTCTGGTAACTCTAGATAATCATCTATACCATCTAAAGCTGAAAACAGCTCTCCATACGTATATACTAATTTTACAAATATACTTTTAAATCTTATAAAGAAGCTTGTACCATATAGAAGGCTCCCAAATGTGACCTGAGTTTGAATTATATCTAATACCTAAGCCGAAACTGCAGTTCATGGGAAACAGGAAAAATGAGTTTCTAGAGTGAGCCATGCCTGTCACAGTCACAGAGCCTTCAGGTTAGGTCAGCAGAGTTCTTTTTGGCTAAGTGTGCTAAATAGAAAAAGGAAGTAGGGAATGGGGTCAACAGCTCCCGAACGCATCCTAGTGATCCCTAACACTCAGTGGGCCTCCGTGACCAGCTCCTAACATTTATGTATCACAATTTTGGCCCAGGAGCAGAGCAACCAGGATTTGGAAATGAGAAGTGTTTCTGCGTCATGTGTTTCTCAGAAGATGGGCCAGAAAACCCAGAAGCAAGGATGGAAAATGGCCAAGCATGTGGCATAAGGGGTAAGGCTGCCTGAGGACTGTAGGATGGGATAATTCAGTGGGTGCCACAGACCTTAGGTAGAGTGGAGGCAGGTGCTCCAGCCACCCAGATTTCTGTTCTCTGCATTTGCTTGACCTGAACCTTTGGGGGAATTGCAGGGAAGCAAGAAATCATTGTGAAGTCATGTTGAATATGGTGGGCTCTGTTTATTATCTATGGATGATGTAACAGAAATGCACTCTTTGAAATAGCAGTTATTGTATTTACTACATTAGTATAACAAGTTACACCCAGTCTTTCATGAAACCCAAGATAGCACAGTGAAATTTTATTGGTAGATAATAATGTCACTTTGTTACAAACTTAAAAGGCCTCACTAAAAGACAACTGATCCTGCTATTTAATGGTTAGGAGGCAAGACTTCAGATCTACTATTCTTGACCCATCACAAAGTTGTGATAGAAGCCCTCCAGTGTACCACTGGTTTACATAGTGGTTTCCTTTAAAATTTTACACACAACATTTTTTTTAATCCCTCACAAAAATCTTAAAACCTAAACAGGATAGGACAACTGCTTCTATCCCTGAAGAAACTGAAGTATTTTTCAGTCTTTATAAAAAATTTTAGAATTGTTCTGTTTTTATTTATTTTTTTAACTTTTTTCTTCCTTTTTTTTCATTTGCTTATATAAATTTATGGGACATACTTTTGTTACATGCATAGTGGTCAAGTCAGGGCTTTTAGGGAATCCATAACCCAAATAATGTACATTTTACCCAAATTTTCCATCATTAACCCCCTTCTGCTCCCTCACTTTTCCAAGTCTCCATTGTCTATCATTCCACTCTCTATGCTCATTTGTATACCTTTTTAGCACTCCTTTATGAGTGAGAACATGCAATATTTGTCTCTCTGTGTCTGACTTGTTTTACTTAAAATAATAACCTCCAGTTCCATCTATGTTGCTGTAGAACATATAATTGGTTGTTTTATGTGGCAGAATAGTATTCTCTTCTTCTCTCCTCTGGGATCTCCAACGTGTATCTATTAATAGGCTTTATGGTGTCCCACAGATCTCTAAGGCTCTGTTTATTTTTCTTCATTTTTAAAATTTCTGTCATCCAAATAAAATAGCTTCCATAATCTATTTTATGCTTCTTTCTTCCCTCATCTCATAGCTGTTTTTGGATCCCTATAGTTTTTAATTTCAGTTATTGTACTTTTTATCTGTATAATTTCCATTAGATTTCTTTCTTGGCTGTTCATATGCCTTCTTTTGAGAAATGTCTAATCATGTCCTATGCCCATTTTTAGTTCCTTGTAGATCCTGGATGGTTAGGCCTTTGTCAGATATACAATTAGCAAATACTTTTTACCAATCTGTGGGTTGTCTCCCTGCTGTCTTGATGGTTTCTTTTGCGTTCAAAAGCTTTTCTGTTTGATGAGGTCTCACTTATCTACCTTCTCTTTTGTGACATTTGCTTTTGGGGATTTGATCAAGAATTAGTTACCTACTCCATTGTGCATAAGTGTTTCCTATGTTTTCTTCTAGAATTCTTATTGATTGACATTTTACATTTAGGTCTTTGATCCATTTGGAGTTGTTTTTTGTATATATAGGCAGAGGTCTTGTTTTTGTATATAGGTAGAGGTCCTGTTTCATTCTGCATGTGGTCAGCCAGTTTTCCCAGCACCATTTGCTAAATAAGTTCTCTCCTCAGTGGTTGTTATTGATGGCTTTTTTGAAGATGAGTTGGCTGAGAGACTGTTTTTGCTTCCAGAATCTCTGTCCTATTCCATTGGTCTATATGCCTGTTCTTGTACCAGTACCAGGCTGTTTTAATTATTGAAACCTTATAGTACACATCTGGAAGTGTGATAACTCCCACTTTGTTCCTTTGCTGAGAATTGTTTTGGCTTCTCATGCTTTTTTGTTTCCATATGAATTTCTGTACTGTCATTTCCAGAATGGTGTTGGTAATTTGACAGATACTGTGTTGAATCTGTAGATTGCCTTGGGTAGGATGGATATCTTGACAATATTGATTCTTCAAATCATTGAACAAGGGATGTTTTTCATTTGTTTGTGACATCTTTGATTTCTTTTAGCAAGTGTTTTGTAGCTCTTGTTGTAAAGGTCTTTCTCTTCTGTGGTTATGTAGATGCCAAGGTATTTCAATTTTTTTGTGACTATCATGAATGGGATTGTGCTTTCTGTTTGGTTCTCTGCCTGTTTGTTTCTGGTGTATAGAAACGTAACTGTCTTTTGCACATTGATTTTGTAAACCAAGCCTTTACCAAAGTCATTTATCAGTGCAAGAAAGTTTTCGAGGGACTCTCTTGGGTTTTCAAGGTATAGGATTATATCATTCGCAAAGAGGGATAGCTTAACTTCCTCTTTTCCTGTCTGGATACTCCTGATTTTCTTCTCTTTCCTGATTGCCCTAGCAACAGGAGGGGTGACAGTGGGCAGCCTTGTCGTGTTCCCATTTTCAGGGGGAATGCTTCTAAATTCTGTCCATTGAGCAATATATTTTCTGTCAGTTTATCATAGATCACTCTTGCTGCTTTGAGGAATATTCTTTCTATGCCTAGGTGCTCAAAGGTTTTTATTAAGAAGGGATGCTGGATTTTGTCAAAAGCTTTTATTGCATCTAGTGATATAATTATGTGGTTCTTGTTTTTACATCTGTTGGTATATTGAATTACATTTATGGTCTTTCAGATGTTGAACCAGTCCTGCATTCCAGAAACGAATACTTGGTCATGGTGGATGTCTCTTGAGATGTGTTGTTGAATACAATTTGCTAGAATCTTACTGAAAATTTTTTCATCTATGTTCATCAAGGAGATTGTCCTGTAATTCTCTTTCTTTGTTGGATCTTTGCCAGGTTTGGGTATCTGTGTGATGTTAGCTTCATAAAATGATTTGGGAAGAGTTCCATCTTTCTCAATTGCCTGGAATACTTTCAATAAGATTGGATCAGCTCCTCCATGTATGTTTTGTAGAATTCAGTTGGAAAACCATCTAATTCAGGGATTTTTTTTTGTAGATATAATTCCTATGACAGAGTCGATTTTCTAAATAGTTATTGGTCTATTTAGGGTTTCAATTTCTTCTTGTTTTAACCTTGGAAGTTTGTGTGATGTCAGAAAGTCCTCCATTTCCTTTAGATTTTTGAGTTTATTTCCATTCAGGAGTGCATAGCAATCTCTAATAATCTTTTTCATTTCTTCAGGGTCAGTTGTTACTTCACCTTTTGCATTTCTAATTGTATTTATTTGGGTTTTCTCTCTCTTTTTCTTAGTCTGTCTGGCTAGGGGTCCATCAATCTTATTTATCTTTTCAAAAGACTAGCTTTTTGTATTGTTGATTTTTTCCATGATATTTTTGTCTTCTATGCCCTGCAATTGTTACTTTATCTTGGTGATCTAGATTCTTCTGCTAAAGTTAGGATTTTTGTGGGCTTGCCTTTCTAGCTCCCTTAGGTGATGTTAGGCTGCTTACTTGTGATCTTTCAGTTTTCTCAAAGTGTGTGTGTAGAGCTATAAATTTTCCACTTACTACTGATTTCATGGCATCTCAGAGATTCTGATAAGATGTGTCTTCATTTTCATTTGTTTCCAGGAATCTTTTAGTTTCTGTCTTGATTTCTTTATTGATCCCTAAGGCATTCAGCAGTATGTTGTTTAGTGCCCATGTCTTTGTGTGTTTTGGGGGGATCTTGTTGGTGGAGATATTTATTTTTATTCCACTGTGATCTGGGAAGATACATGGTATTATTTTGATCTTTCGGAATTTGTTTTTGCTTGATTTATGTGACTAGTCTTGGAGTATGTTCCATGTGCTGATGAGTAGAATGTATAATCTTTAGTTGTCAGGTGAAGTGTTCTGTAGATGTTTATTAAATTCATTTGGCCGAGCATTGAGATGAGGTTCCAAATACCCTCATTGATTTTTTTTGCCCTGATGGTCTATCTAGGGTTGTTAGTGGGGTATTTAAGTCTCCAATAATAATTGTGTGTGAGTCAATGTCCTCTTAGTTTACTTAGCGCTGATTTTTAAAACCTGGTACTCCTGTGTCATGTACATATATATTTAGGATGGATATTTCTTGCTGGTAGATTGAACATTTATCATTATGTAGTGTCCTTCTGTATCCTTTTTAATTTTTGTTAGCTTGAAGGCTGTTTTATCTAATATTAGAATAGCTACTCTTGTCTTCTGTTTTCCATTTGCCTGAAAGTTAATTTTTCAGCCTCTAACTTTGAGTCTGTAGGTGTCCTTTGTAGTGAGATGGGTTTCATAAAGGCAGCAGATTGTTGGAGCATGCTTTTTATCCAGTTTGTCACTTCATGTGTTTTTCAGAGGTGTATTTAGTCCATTCATACTTAGGCTGATTATTGAAATTTGAGTGTTTATCCCGGTCATAGGGCTCTTTGAAGGCAGTTTTGTTTTCTTTTAACTTTTGCATTAATATCTGCATGTGTTCTCATTTTTGTAGGTGCATAATATGCTCTGTTGACTCTGTGCTTGTCTGTACTCTTGTAAAGTTAATAGTCATTCTTTTCTCTCTTTTTTAATTCTGTGCTCAATACTTTCTTAAGCATCTCCTGTATAACTGGTCTGGAAACAGCATATTCTCTTAGGGATTGGATGTCTGGGGAAGATTTTAATTTTCTGTTGCTTATTAAGCTTACCTTGGCTGGGTAGGACATTTTTGGTTGAAATTGCTTATCTTTGAGAGCATTAAAAATTGGACTTTAATCCCTTCTGACTTGTAGTATTTCTGCAGATAAATCTGGTGCTATTCTGATTGGTCTTCCCTGGTAAGTCGTCTAACCTTTGTCTCTCACTACATTTTTTCTTTCATACTTATTTTGTGTCTATGGCTTGGTCTTCTTATATGATTCCTTGCAGGGATTCTCTGAATCCCTTGGCTGCATCTCTGGCAAGATGAGGAAAGTTTTCTTGGATGACCTCAAAGAATGCTTGTTTCCAAGGTGCTCTGTTTCTCTTTATGCTTCAGGGATACCAATCAGGCATAAGTTCAGCTTCTTGATATAATCACACATTTCTTGGGGGACTTGCTCCTTTTTGAGTTGTTTTTTCTATGTTTTTAACAGATTGGTTTATTCCATATTTTGATCTTTAAGCTCTGAAATTCTTTCCTCTGTCTGGTTAATTCTATTTTCTATGTTTGTCAGTTTATTATTTATTCCATGGATGGAGTTTTTAAATATCCATTATTTCAGAATTTTTTTTTTGAGATTGGTCAGCTTCATTAGAATTTCATTCAGTTTTGCTTTTTGCTTCTCTTGGTTCTTGTTCATTCTCTCCATGCAGTCTTTGATCTCTGTACTGTCTATTGAGGCCAGTCATTTTGGGAGATTTCCATTGTTTGTGCTCTGATGGCTAGTTTTTCAGGCTCTGTCTCCTTAAGACTCTAGGAGATACCTGTGTTTTTCTGTTGTTTTTTCCTCATTTGTGACAGATCATTATGTAGTATCCTTCTGTATCCTTTTTAATTTTTAAATTCTGTTACTCAGTGAGAGAGGGAGAAGCATTTGCTTCTGTTATTTGCTCCACCCCCTATCGTTCCCTGTGCAGAGTCTCTGAGTTTGTTTGATTTTGAAACAAGGCTGGGGGCAGGGAGCATAGCTCCTTGCAATTTTGAGAGCTGAATAAGGTGGAAGGATAAGGGAAACAACGGTTCAGAAACTACCTATGGGTTACAACATTCACTATCTGGGAAATGAGCCAACCAAGACTCACTCCCCACCACCTCACAATATGTCCATGCAATGAGTATGCATGTGCACCCCCTTAGTCTAAGATAAACTAAAAGAAAAGAAAAGGCAATGAAAGAAGATTCCAGAGGAAGAAGCACGAAGGGGGAGCCACAGAGGATAGAAAAGAGGATCACTGGGGCAAATGAAAAGTCTTCATGTATCACAATTTTGACCCAGGAGCAGAGCAACCAGGATTTGGAAATGAGAAGTGTTCCTGTGTCATGTGTTTCTCAAAAGATGGGCCAGAAAGCCCAGAAGCAAGGATAGAAATTGGCCAAGTGTGTGGCACAACAGGTAAAACTATCTGAGGGCTTTGGGATGGGGATGGCTCAGTAGGTGCTACAGACTCCAGGTAGAGTGGAGGCAGGTGCTCCAGCCACCCAGATTTTTGTTCTCTGCATTTGCTTGAACTGAGCCTTTGGGGGAATTGCAGGGAAGCAAGAAATTATTGTAAAGTCATATTGAATATGCTGGGCTCTGTTTATTATCTATGGATGATGTAACAGAAGTGCACTCTTTGAAATAGCAGTTATTGTGTTTACTACATTAGTATATCAAGTCACACCCGGTCTTTCATGAAACCCAAGATAGCCCAGTGAAATTCTACTGGTAGATAATAATGTCACTCTGCTACAATCTTAAAAGATCTCACTCAAAAGACGACTAGTCCTGCTACTTAAAGGTCAGGAGGCAAGACTTCAGATCTACTATTCTTAACCCAGCACATGGTTGTGATAAAAACTATCCAGCATATCACTGGTTTACAAAAATCTTAAGACCTAAACAAGATATGACAACTGCTTCTCTCCCTGAAAAACTGAAGTATTTTCAGCATCTTGCTAAAAAGAAAAAAAAAAGGAAGACCAGGGTCCATCCTAGACTTCTAGTTCACAGTTCAGTATGGTTTTTATTTCTTTAGAAGGAAGAGGGGAATGATTATCCAAACATTTTAATAAACTCAAGTCTTCTGTAATATGAATTATCCTAAGATTTGTAACTTATTAATTTCTGTTTCTTTACTACCACTTATTATTTTCTAGATACAGTGGATATTGGAAGCAACTCTACTTTGGGAAAAGCGAGGAGAAAAAGAAGTAATAATAAGTATTAATTTACTTGTTTTCAATGTTACAAATACATTTTTAATGTCAGAATTATATTTATTACTACCACTACTATTATTATTTACAATACTGTGGTGACAGAATGATGGCCTCCCAAAGGTGTACAAAATCATGCCTTACCACAACCTTGACCTCCTCCTAGGCTCAGGTGATCCTTCCAACTTAGCTTCCTGAGAAGCTGAAACTACAGGCTCATGACATCACACCCATATAGCGAATTTTTTTTTTTTTTGTAGAGACACGGTTTCTCTATGTTGCCCAAGCTTGTCTCAAATGCCTAGTTCAAATTATTCTCCTGTCTTGACATCCCAAAGTTCTGGGATTCAGGCATGAGCCATGATGTCCAGACTAAACAACAGATTTTCAATGTAGACAAAACAGCTTTCTATTGAAAAACGATGCCCTCTTGGACTTTCGTAGCTAGAGAAGAGAAGACAATGCCTGGCTTTAAAGCATCAAAAAACAGGCCAACTCCCTTGTTAGGAGCTAATGCAACTCTTTCTTTCAGTTGAAGCCAATACCCATTTACCATTCTTAAAATCCTAGACCCTTAAGAATTATGCTAATTCTATTCTGCCCATTCTCTGAAAATGGAACAACAAAGTCTGAATGACAGCACATGTTTACAGCTTACTGTTTTAAGCCCACTGTTGAGACCTACTGCCCGAAGAAAAAAATTTGTTTCAAAATATTACTATTCATGGACATTGCACCTGATTTTCCAGGTACATTGATTTAGATGTCTAAGGAGCTCTTGTGAAGATGTCTAAGGAGATTAACGCTGCTTACATCCCTGCAAACACACCATCCATCCATTCTATAGTCCATAGATCAAAGAGTAATTTCAACTTTCAAGTCTTAATAGTTAAATGTGTTTCACAATGCTGTAGCTACCATACATAGTGATTCCTCTGATGAATCTGGGCAAAGTTAACTGAAAGCCTTTTGGAAATGATGCCCCATTCTAGAAGCCATTAAGAACATTTGTGATTCATGGAAGGAGATTGCAGAAATGAGCAAATGCTCATTTGTCATTTACCAAACCTAGACTGAAAAGACAAAATGGGATAAAAATGAACACCTGTTAATGTTGATATTCTTGAGGTGGAAAACGTATTTTTGAATTTCAGTCTGGTTTCATATTGCAGAGATAACACTCATGATCTCTTACCTTTTTTATAGTAGCCATTGTAATAGGTGTGAGATGAGGTCCCAGTGTGGTTTTGATTTACATTTCCTTGATGATTCATGATGTTGAGCCTTTTTTCATATACCTGTTGGCCATTTATATGTCTTCTTTGGGAAAATGTTTATTTAGATCCTTGTATCTTCTCTGATAATATTAGCCTTTTAATAGTTAAATTTCAATTTGTTTACATTTATTGCGGTTCCAGATAAATGTGGACTTTTATCTTGTACATTATTGTTGATCTTTCTTTTTCTGTGTTTTTTGTGTCCCTTTTCCACTTTTTGATGGATTGATATAGAATTCTATATTCCCTCTTTTCCTCCTGCTGACTTAGAAATTGGAGATAAAATTTCTGTAATTTCCTTAACTATGCTACAATCCCAAATCATGACAAGATCTTATCATGGTTTCATTACAGATTAGATATGCCCATCTCTACCTTTTGGCTATTTTTGTTAATATTTTATTTTTAATTACAAATCTTGGAACTATTATTATATTATGTATTATCTTTTTGCTATTGATATTTACTTAAGTTTTAAAAATAATTTTATGCACTCACTATTGTCATTTTCTTTGGTTTTACTTTATGGCTTGCTGAAGTAAATCCTTTGGTTCTTTTAGTGACTGATCTTTACGTGGTAAACTCTCTAAGTGCTGCAGGTGCAAGTTTATCTTTATTTTGGAACTTTGACTAGGTTAAATATTCTAGGTTGACATTTATTTCTTGCCAGTACAATAATGTGTTTACTACATAGTCTTCTGAGATCTACTGTGTGGCTAATAAAAATTTAGTGTGTGTTGTAACTGCCACTTCTTGGTAAATATTCTGTCCTTTCTCCCTAAAATCTTTTTCTCACAACATTGAATCATGAAAAATTTTAAATATGCAGAATACTTAGGAGAATTTTATGGTAAATACCAATATTCACAATTAACGTTGTATCATTCCAGCTCTATCATATTTCTATCCATCTGTCCATTTCTTTATTCATTCACTAACCCATCTAAAGTTTGGAATATTTCAAGGTTGCAGACATCACTGCACACCCCCCACCCCAATACTTCAGTGTGCAAATCAATAACTAGAACTCAATATTTGTTTAGAGTTCTTTTTTGAGATGAAATGTATAATAAAATGCACAAACATTAAGTATACCTATGTGATGAGTTCTGATAACTGCATTCTTCTGCACAATCAAAATCCTTATCCAGATGCAGAACATGACCATCACCCTGGAGGAGAGGTTCTTTACGCCCTTTTGGTATATCTCTTCCCCTTACCCATTAAAACAATAAATAGTACTCTTATTTTTCTCATGATAACTTAATTTGAATTGCTTTAAAACTTTATATAAATAGGGTTTCATAGCATGGTCTCTTCAGTGTAAGATTTCTTTGACTCAGCATGTTTTCGAGGTTCATTTATGTTGTTGAATGTATCAGTAGTTTGTTTCTTTTGGGTTCTAAGTAATGTACATTGTCTGAAGATACCAAATTTTGTTTATACCTTCTCCTATTTATGGACACCTCAAGTGTTTCTGGTTTTTTGTTATTATGAAAAAGCTGCCACAAACAGTCTTGTAGAAGCTTTTCTGTGGAACTGTGTCCTTCATATCTCTTGCATAAATACTTAAAAATGAAATTTCCAGGATATAGGATAGATACATCAGTTCTTGCCCTCCAAGGCCCATGAAAGGATGATGTGGGGAAGACCCAGGTGGTGGTACACACACAAGAGTGTGCTGCAATTGAAAAATACTTAGGAAACCCAGTCTTATAAGAGGGACTGCAAGCAGATCTGCTCCAACCCTACCCACTAAGGGAAACATCTTATTAGCTAGCCTTCTCTGGGGTTAGAACTTCTGGAATATTTCTAAGTGGGGGAAGATGTTCTCTATACTGGTCAGGAAATAAATCTTCCCTGTAACCTGGAGGCCACATTATCTCTAGCTTCCAATTCTGTTTGCTTTCTAAAACAGCCTTGAAATCATACCCTGAGGCTCATGGAAATGCCATGGAGAATTTGCCTCCCAACAAATTCATCTCACATTTTTGCTTCTGATACATTTCTCCTTGAAGACACCACTCCATCAACCACTCAGATTAATCTCACCCATGGGCCCATCTTCATTCAATTTGTTTCCTACATTTAACAAATTTCATAAGCCATAAATGCTTTAGGTCCCTTATGACAGCCTCTAGAGTACAAGTCACCACGTTTACACAAGGAAGGCAAGTTAATGCCCGGCATTCACACAAGAAGCACAATCCCAAGGGCACACATGGTCCCCAGAAGGGAAATGTTTTCAATTGTTGGGCTCCCTGGAGTGGGATGTACATTAGGAGGAAAGTGGGCAGTACCTTTAATATGGCCCATGGCCAGCAATAAGCATTAGAGTTTCCAATTTTGTTCATTGCATCTAGTACTTGATTTGTGTGTGTGAGTGTGAGTGTGTGTGTGTAATATATGGGAAGACTAAGGACAGTCTGTTTAATCTGTCCACTTTGTCCCTAACACTAACCAGGAACCAGGTGGCATTCACCACTACCCTCAAATGGCTGAGAATGGGGGTGGGGGCAATGTGTGGAAGAGTTCTGCATGAGATGTGTTGAAGTAAGGGCAGCCCCCTGTGGACTCATGACTGGTATGGAGATGCTGCTTAAGCCTTCTTAGAGGTAGAAGCACAGTAGTGGAGTGTTTCCTTCTTGACAAAGGACCAAGTGGCAGCTCTGAAAGACATATTTTTAATGCTCCTCTACCCCCAGTTTGAAGTGTTCCCTTCTTAGATGTCTGTATTTTTGTTCTTATTTCACTGCCACAAAATCTGTCTGTACCATTACAATGGCTGTAACTTTACCTTTTCTTCCAATTATCTCCTTTCCTCACTCAGACTTCCTGTCTACAAAAATCAGAAACAAGCGAGGCAAAAGCATTTTCATAAACTGTAACCAGCATGGAATCTGAATCCTCTGGGTGGATTTTTTGAAGGCTGTACCCATGATGGTTGGTAGGGGAAAGAACTAGCTGTCATCTCTTAAGAGTGGTCAGAACAGAATCCTGAATTTTCACAGTAGGTCTATACAACACATATAATCCCCCAGTGCCTTTGTCATGATCATTATCCAGGAAGGAGAGGACCCCTTTCAGGAGATTCAGCCCTTCAGTGAGCAAAGCCCCTCACCAAGTTGTGTGGACAGGAGAAGACAAGGGACATAGAGTCAGAAAATAAGCACACTGTTGAGTAAATTTTTTTATAAAGGGCACATTATTGTTAGGCTGCAAATGGTTCAGACAGCCAGGATCATGACACTCATGAGTTTCTAGGGTTACAATAGCGTCACTGAAGTCACTGGATCATCAACCTGCAGAAGCATCACCAAGATTATATAATGAATTATATCGAGATTACATTATGATTTTGTAATTATATCATGAAAGCTGTCCACATCTCAAAGTTGAGAATGTCCCCCAACTTTTAATACTGTATTTACCCATGACATTATCAGCTTCAGGGAATATGCCTTCTCATTGCATGTTTGAATTTACACCACAAATACTTGAAAAATGAACATATTGGTTTATAATGATAGCAATTATTATTCTCTGTAAGGTAATGGTAGTAGCTAATTTTCCATTTTTAAAAGATTTCTCAAGAAGGGTCATCTTCTATAGTCTCCCAAACCCATGGACCAAGGCATATGCAAAGTTAAAATATAATTCTATAATTAACCTCCACATTGCTGCACTAGTCATCAAGAGTTTTGCTCCATTCCTATGATCCAAAACTACTAGGATACTACCTGAAAAACCTACTTGAATAGTACTGGCATATAAAGCTTACATTTATAGTTCTGAATGATTAACTTAATTCTTTTTGGCTCAAAGGAAAAAAGAAGGGACATTCCTGGACCAGAATAAAAAGGAGATGGCAGGAAAAAATACAACAAAAAGGTAAGCAGGCATAGTAAGTAGTTTCAGCTTTTGAGTTTATCAAGGCGCTGCCCATTGTATTCTTAGAGGCCTTCAGTCTCCTGGGGACCAGGATAGTTTTGTAGCCCCTGTATCAGTTAGGATATAGGCTAAGATGCCATAACAAAGAGGTCTGAAAATACAATGGCTTTAAAAAATACAATGACTTTATTTCTCATACATTGGTAGTCCACAGGTAAATGGTCCTGAGTTAATAGGGAGGCATTGTCGTCCTATGTGACTTTCCTAGATCAATAAATTTTTATTAATTTGGAAAGATATCCCAAAGAATGAAGAAAACAAGTTGTATGTGTATGTATGTGCATGCATACATGTCGTAAATACATATAAGTGTATAAGCATATATTTTTACATGCAAAAGTTATACTTGTGAAAGTATGTTTTTATATATCTGTAAGTCCTTATATGTACATATGTAGTTAATTATCTATATGCAAAGAGATATAGATATGTAGGGACATCAATGACAGTTTACCCATAACACTACATGCAAGGGTTACATTTGGTCATTGTAATAGAGATTATGTTTATATTTTTATTTGTGGTTTTTAAAGGCATGTGTATATTAAAATATTAGACATGTTCAACTTTTATAATAAAAGTTGTTCTTTAAAAAGTAATATATGTAAAAAGAAAAACTAGGAGGATATTTTTGAAGAAATTAGTTGTGGCTATCTTCAGATGATATTTCATACAGTTTTGCTTTCTGAATTTCCAGTAATGTGTGTGTGTATGTATACATACATGCATATGTATATATATCTGGAATTTTATTTATTTTAGTCATGTTCTAAGGAAATTCTTTCTCCTAGACAATGAAGACTAAATCTCATTTTCCAAATGAGTGTCAATTTTGAATCAGTAGATATATATAGTGAGATTTTAGAGGTTCTGTTAAAAATTATTAATTTTCACCAATCTTATGTTCTTTCCAGTTTAAGTGACTGCCCTATTGGTAGTGGTGTATATTTTTGTTTGGAAAGAAAAAAAAGTGATAGCATTCATTGTAAGAATGAGTGTTTTCAATTTAAAAAATTATTTGGGTTGATAAGTCTGTGTGTATGTAGAAAAATTCTAAGAGACTTCTTTTCAATGTACAAGTAAGTCCTGAGTATAATTTAAAAGTCTATACTCCTAAAAGTAGAAAATACCCTGGACATGTGCTTGAGGTTCCTTGTCTGAGGTATGAAGAAAGGGCATCCAGAATTAAGCCCAGGATTCCCTCACAGCTTTTAGTTCCACCTATCAGCTATTGTTTTGCCCAGTTCTAGATTTTCCCCTGCCTATTTCCAGATCACAACCAAGCTGGTGACCAGAGGGTCTTGAGTAAAAGGAAGAAGAACATGAAAATGCAAGGCCGTGCCAAGATTGCAGGTAAAATAAAAGTGTGTGCCCTTTTACCTTTGCCCTATAGGTCAAGATAAATTTTGTTATGCTTTTGAGGAACTTAGATCCTCCTTAATATCAGTTAGTATTATTAGTCAATTTGAAAGCAGTGAAATCTAAAAAAGCAAATGCATTTGGAGCCAGGGTTGTGAGTTGTTTGCATTTATATTATAGATCTTACCTACCTGGGTTCTAATTTTTTTTTCCCTCTGAGTTTTATCTGTTTTTCATGGAAATTCCTTTGTTGTCCATCACTGATTTATTTAAATGGCTAGGCTCGGCCAATTGTAAGCAGAAATCAAGTTTATTCTCTCACTGCCCTTTGAGATCCTCCTTCTAGATGAGTTCTTTTCTACCTTGGTCAGGTCCTGCAGCTTCCTTTTAACAGCAGTAAGAGATTCATTTTAGTAGTTGAGAGCCCTTTCTGACTTAGTGTTAAAACTCCAATATTTTCTCCAATTTAAAGCACTCTCACCTTCAGCCTTGACAAACTGTAATCTGGGAAGCGTGAAGTGGGGCACGGAGTGGTCAGTGTCTTTCTTCTCTTACTCTCTATTGACTTTGCCCCAACTATTGAGCTATTAGTTTGGGCCTATCCAGAACAAGGCAGGTAGAAGAGAGAGAAGAGATAAGAACATGGAAGTGTCTTGCCTGACAGATACAGTTGTGAAATAACATTAAAAATGGAGAATGCACAATCACTATCCTTTTCTTCCATGAGATGCTTTCATCAATTCCACTACAAAAGAAGATTGGTTAGGTGCCAATGCTTGACTTCTTTTGAAAGAAATGTAGCCTTTTTTCTATGGCCTGGATGTGAGTTAAAGGCCAAAGCTGGCATAACCAGTTCTACCAGCTCTTTGTATGGTTGTATAGAAGACCTGGTGCATTTGGATGTGGGTGCTTGGAACTAAGATGACCAAATCAACCTTGTTGCTTGGGACTTTCCCAGTTTTGCCAGTGAAACTCCTGTGTCCCAGGTACACACAGATGTGTGTGTGAGTGTGTGTGTGTGTGTGTGTGTGTGTGTCCTAAACAGGTTTGATGAAAGGTAAATCCAACATACCCGATGGTCTCAGAAAAAATATAAACAGGTAGAAACAGAGATAGAGAGAAATCAAGACAGAACTCTGTATTTGCTGGACCAGTCAAGGTTGTGGCCAGAGCTTTAGTGCCAAGCCTGGCTGGTATATAGGAAGGGAAAGAGCAATAAGAATATGACATCCAGGCTGGGCTCAGTGGCTCAAGCCTATAATTCCAGCACTTTGGGAGACCGAGGTGAGGGGATTGACTGAGTCCACAGGTTCAAGAACAGCCTGGGCAATTTGGCAAGACCTCATTTCTACAATAAATTTTTTTAAAAATAGCCAGACGTGGTAGTACGCTCCTATAGTTACGGCTACTCGGAAGACTGAGGCAGATGGATCGCCTGAGCCCAGCAGGTCAATGCTGGAGTGGCTGTGAGTGTACCACTGCACTCCAGCCTGGGTGATGGTGTGAGATTCTAATTTAAAAAAAAAGAATATGACATCTGGATATATTCTCACTGAGCTGAGTGTGGACTCTCAGGAGAGGAGGGGGAGGCAAATGAGTGAAGGGGAGAGACCTAGAGATATACTAGCCTTTTAGAGTCCTATTGGTAAATTGGGTGAGAGAGGAGGGGGAGAGAGCCACTCAGAGAGCCACACCTGTGTGGATGATCTTCTATTGCCTAAAACCCCAGTGTCCAGAAGGAGGAAGTGAGAGAGAGCGTAAAAAGATTAATATACTTCATTGAAGACCACATTTTCACCATTTTAATTGTTTTCTTTAGCCATTGGTTGTTAATATTCAAGCCTCCTACTTTCTTGCACAAGTTTAGCAAAGTTTCCTAGAACTCTTGCTTGAACTCTTATTTTTCTAGTTAAATATTAACAGGGTGATAATTTGCAAGGTTGAAATTTGTTTGATCTTGGGATAAGATCTCTCTAATTATCAACATTGGTCCCACAGGCAATTTTGATCTCAAATAGGTGAAAACCCTATCAGTAACTGTTTAGTCTAAAAAACAGAAAATGGGATTATATTACCAAGCAATAGATCCACTTTGGGTTTGATTGAAATAAAGAACCCTTTTACTTTCCTGGCTTAATATGCTTAGTGTTTATAGCACTTAGGATGGAATAGTTCAGAAAATATTTCCTAATGAGATCTACATGACCTTGATGACCATCACCAGATGGTGATCATTGGGCGGTGGACTTTAAACACAAGAAAGAAGGAACATTTTGTTTTCCTGCCTTAGAACACAAAATGCATGTGAAAGATAGTAAACATTAAGATGCCTATCTATGGCCAATTAACTTGTAAATGGAAGAACATTCTCTGCTGCAGCATTTACCAGGTCAATCCTCCATGGGGATTTTGGAAGACTCAATTCTACACATTCCTCTGGATTTAATCTCTGTTTGTTTTCTAGAGCCTAATATATTTTCTGTCCAAACCCACATGAGGAAAGTCCTTAGTCACATTTACCATCATATTCAGCACAAATGTACAACTGTCTTCCCTCAAGGTGATATGTGCAGCATTATCTTACCTATGGAGCACCTAACAGGGTTTCCCTTAACTCCCAGAACTCTCAATTTATTTCTATCTCTTTGCTAAAAGAAACCTAAACCACCTTTGCTTAATTTTGTATTTTTGTTTCAATTTTCTCTGAATATTTTCATTTCTGTAATGGCAATAATCATCATCTGAATCTTGCAAAGATTAAGTAAATTAATGTTACAGCCTTACCAGGTTCTTATGCCTGCTGCCCAGAATAACTGGGTGCTTCAAGTCCCTTCACTCCTCCTGAAGGCTCAAAAAAATAAGCAAACTTGGGAAATCCCCAGAGTCCTGACCTTAACCTAGATTACCATCATAGCCAGCTTTCTCCCACAAACTGACTTTCTCCCATAAGCACCACCTGTCCAGAGATCAACAGTACAGCCAACCACATAAGATATAATACCTCAACTTTGGGAAAAGCCTTATCCAAAACACCAGTTAACAATACTTTCCAAGCCACTCTGGCCACTCAGGGCACTATGAGAGCCAGTGCAGGTACATAGCTCAGGACTGTCATATCTGGCAACTGAGAAACTCACCACAACAAGACTATATATAACCAAGGGAACTTTCAGTGCCAACATCAGCCCCCTGCCAACCTCAAATTAGAAGAAATTCTCTACCTAAACAAAAAGGAACCAGAAAAAATAATTCTGACGATATTGGACAATATGTCCAATATAACAATATGGACAGAGTTCTCTAGTACCCCCCAAAGACCACACCAACTTCTTCAGCAACGAACCCTAACCAAAATGAAATTTTTGAAATTTCAGACATAAAATTCAAAAAATTGATGGTAAAATTGGTCAATGAACTTCAGAAGAAAATTGAAAAACCAACATAAGGAAATTTTAAAAACAATTCAGAACATGAATGAAAAATTCTCCAAAGATATAAACACCTTTATAAAAAACAGGTCAGACATGGTGAGGGGATAACCTGAGCCTATGGGTTCACAGCCTGGGCAACTTGATGAAACCTTATCTCTACAATAAATCAAAAAATTAGCCAGGCATGGTAGCATGTGCCTGTAGTTCTGGCTACCTGGAAGGCTAAGGCAGAAGAATCGCCTGAGCCCAGCAGGTCGATGCCGTGAACATGACACTGCACTCCAGCCTGGGTGACAGAGTGAGACTCCAACTCAAAAAAAAGGTTGAAATTCTAGAAATGAAAGAAGCATTTAGGGAAGTACACAATGCAGTAGAAAGTTTTAATCGTAGACTAGAACAAGCAGAAGAAAGAATCTCAGAACTTGAAGACAAGGCTTTTGAATTAACCCAATCAGACAACAATAAAGAAAAAAGAATTAAGAGAATGGAACAAAGTCTCCAGTCTCCAAGAAATATGGAATTATTTAAAATGTCCAAACCTAAGAATCATGCATATTCCTGAGGAAGAAGAAGTTAGGAAAACCTATTTCAGGGAATAATAGAGGAGAACTCCCCTGACCTTGCCAGAGATCTAAACATTCAGATACAAGAAGTCCAAAGAATTCCCAGGAGATTAATTGTAAAAAGGTCATCCCCAAGGCATATAATCATCCTGCTATGCAAAGTTAATGTGAAAAAAAGAATTTTAAGACAAGTGAGACAAAAGCACCAAATAACTTAAAAAGATAAACCCATCAGACTAATAGCAGACTTCTCAGAAGAAACTCTACCAGCCAGAAGAGACTGGGGGCCCATCTTCAATCTCCTCAAACAGAATAGTTGTCAGCCAAGAATTTTGTATCTCACAAAACTAAGTTTCATAAATTAATTAGAAATGAAGTCCTTCACAGACGAGCAAACACTGAGGGAATTTGTCACTACTATACCAGCTCTACAAGAAATATTCAAAGGAGTCCTAAATACTGAAACAAAAGATTGAAATATACAAGTAGAAAAATGCTAAAAGTTATAATATTCTATTCAATATATTCTATTGACTTTATGGAAAACCAATAGAATAGAGAAAATAAATAAAGCAACCAGATAGCAACCAATATGATGAGTAGAGTAGTGTCTTGCATATCATTATTAACTCTGAATGTAAATGGTCTCAATGCCTCACTAAAAAGATACATGCTGGCAGAATGAATTTAAAAAAGCAAAACTCAAATATCTACTGCCTTTAAGAGATCCACTTAACTCACAAAGACTCCTATAGACTCAAGGTAAAGGGGTGGGGAAAAATATTCCACACAAATACAAATCAGCCATTCTCATATCAGATAAAACAGATTTTAAATTAACAACAGTAAAAAAAGACAAAGATGGCTATTATATAATGATAATGATATTAATCCAATGAGAAGACAAAACAATTTTAAATATATGTGCACCTAATACCAAAGCCTCCAGCTTTATAAAACAAATTCCACTACATCTGAAAAAAGAGAGACAGCAATACAATAACAGTGGGAGACTTCAACCCTACACTGACAGCAATAGACATATCATCAAGGCAGAAAGTCAACAAAAAAACATTGGAGTTCAACAGGATTCTAGAAGAAATGGAACTAACAGACATCTACAGACTATTCTATCCCCAAACTATAGAATATGTATTTTTCTTATCAGCACATGGAACATTCTCCAAAACAGACCATGTGATAGGCCACAAACCAAGTCTCAATAAATTCAAAAAATCAAAATCATATCAAGCACCATCTGAGACCACAATAAAATAAAACTAGAAATTAACTGCAAGAAGAACTCATGAAAAAAACAAAGACGTGGAAGTTAAACTATTTGCTCCTGAATGATCCTTACTAAAACCTGACCTGGATTGCCCAGGCTGGGCTCAAACTTTTGGGATCAGGCAATCCTCTCACCTCAGCCTCCCAAAGTGCTGGGATTATAGGTATGAACCACCACTCCTGACCTGGATTGTTTAATTTCTATAATCAGGTTATAGGGAGATAGATTGGCATCATTGCTAAAAAGACTGAGTCAACAATGAAATTAAGATGAAAATTTTAAAATCCTTGAAACAAATGACAACAATGAAACAAGTTTTCAAACTCTCTGGAACACAATCAAATCTGTGCTCAGAGAAAAATGTATAGTGCTGAAGGCCTACATTAATAAAACTGAATGATCACATTTTGACAACTTAATGAACTAGAAAAACATGAACAAATCAAACTCAAAGCTAGCAGAAGAAAAGAAAGAACAAAGATCAGAGCAGAACTAAATAAAATTGAAATAAAAAAATACAAAGGGTCAATGAAACAAATATTGGTTCTTTTGAAAAGATAAACAAAATTGATAGACTACTAGCTAGATTAATTAAGAAACAAAGAAGACTCAAAGTAGCTCAATCAGAAATTAAAAAGGAGACATTACAATGGATACAACAGAAATCCAAAAGGTCATCCGAGACTATTATCAGCACCTCTGTGCAAACAAACAAAACAATCTAGAGGAAATTAATAAATTCTTGCAAACATACAACCCCCCAATCTTGAATCAGGAAGAAATAGAAGCCCTGAACAGACCAATAGTGAGTAGTGAGATTGAAACAGCAATTAGAAGTCTCCTAACAAAAAAAAAGTCCAGGACCTGATGAACTCACAGCTGAATTCTACTGTTATGGCCTGATCCAATAAATCAGCTGCTATCCCTCATGGCTAATTAAAATATAAAAGGCAGAGAGTGGGAGAAAAGGGATTGTTTAATTTCTTTTTCTTTTTTTCTTTTTTTGAGTTGGAGTCTTGCTCTGTTGACCAGGTTGGAGTGCAGTGGCATGCTCCCGGCTACCACAGCCTCCACCTGCTGGGTTCAAGTGATCCTTCCACCTCAGCCTTCCAAGTAGCTGGAACTACAGTCACACACTACTATGCCTAGTGAATTATTTATTTATTTATTGTAGAGATGAGGTCTTGCCAAGTTGCCCAGGTTGGTCTCAAAGTCGTGGGATCGGGCGATCCTCTCACCTCAGCCTCCCAAAGTGCTGGTATTATAGGCATGAGCCACTGTGCCCGGCCTGGATTATTTAATTTCTATAATCAGGTTATAGGGAGACGGGTTGGCATCATTGCTAAAAAGCCTGCTCCCACTAACACAAATCGATTCCAGTATTTATACCCAAAATGTGTAGCCCTTCACCCACCCCAAGTTTAAAGACTACATGCAGTTTTAGCATGACTCAGGATTTACATTAACAACTTTTGATATGTGACCAGTGATTTGACACAAAGTCTCCTGGTCATGTTGACATTTTAGATAACATTTGGGAATTTACAGTATGTTCTTTTACAGTTTTTTAGAGGAAGGGGAAGACAATTGCAATATTTGGGCAGAAGGAAAGGTTATAATATTTTTAATGATAGCTTTGAATTGTTTTAAGACATAATTATAACAATCTCCTATTCCCAGAGTCCTGGTCCATAACAGTCTGATGTCCTTGTATTCACAGATGGAGAGGAGAAAGTCAATGCCCATTTCAGACTTTCAGACACACTCCTGCTAGCCTTGGACTGCTCTCCTAATTATCAGGTGGTCTGGCTTGCCGATTGTTTCTTCTTCAGCATCAGCAATGGTTCACTAGATAAGATTGACCAGTCAGACAAGGCCATGCTAAGAAAGAAGAAAGGTGGGGGTAGGGGGGATAAGAAAAATAAACACGTTTGAGTTCAAGCAACTTTTAGTTAAACTCAACTCAGCTACAAATTAATACAAGTTTTTAAGACTTTCTAAATGACTGTGTTAAACAACCAAAATGGCCTCTTTTCAGCCTGTAACACTACTAGACCTTCAAAGAAGAACCTGTACCAATTTTACTGAAGCTGTTCCACAAGATTGAAGAGGAAGGGATCCTTCCTAACTCATTCTATGAGGCCAGTGTCATTCAGATACCAAAGCCAGGAAAGGGCACAACAGAAAAGGAAAACTACAGACCAATATCCCTTATGAACATAGATGCAAAAATCCTCAACAAAATATTAACAAACCAAATTCAACAGCACATAAAAGCAATAATACACCATGACTAAGTGGGTTTTTAAACAAATGAATAAGAATTATCATCAAGCAGTGAGGAAAGAAATCAGAAAATGTGTGGTTTTTTTTTTTAAGATGCAACTACTAGCAAAACCTAAGAGACACAAATCCATTTGGGATAAGGATGATAGTGCCACCCACTGCAAAAGCTGCAAGAAATCAATAGGCAATGAATTATAATTGCACTCATGACCATTGGTCATTAATAAAAGCCTTTATTTTGTTCAGTATGTTTTTATAAAAGTGGAAAGAGTTTAATATGGTTCCCTTGCAAAGTGTTAAAATTTCAAAAGTGTGAGTGTTTATTTAAAAGGATGCAAGGATTCATTCATGTGGGAGTCCAGCTCCTGCCAGATTCAGGGTACTCCAAAGTGGAGACAGTGTCAGCGATTGTGAGAAAGAGAAAGAGGGAAAGAGAGATGCTGGAGACCATTAGTTTGCAACAAGGTTTGAAACTGAGTTTTGTCATATGGGATGATGATATTATCCACATCTTTTCCAAACAATTCCACACTCCTCTGTCTTTCTTTGATTATTAACAAAGCTACTAAGTACAGATAAGATGCTAAAACTTTTTTAGAGGAAACCGGTAAATGTAACCATTCCATAGGTCCTTCCTGCCACAAGCACCCTGTTGGGGTATGAGAAGTAGCCAACACAATTAATTCCCATGGTATATCATAACTTACTCTTTTCACCCTTTGGGACTCAATGGCCTTTTCCACGAGAGTTTAAGACCTCTTTTGCCTCGGGTGTTAAGACTCTTTTAGAAGTGGGGGAGGGATTCTCCTGCAGTATATCAAAAAGAGGCTTTAAATCTGCAGTAGTGACCTGTAAATAAGGTCTCAACCAATTAATATCTCCTAATAATTTCTGAAAATCATTTAAGGTAACCAAATGATTCTTCCTTAATTGTAGAGGTTGATGACTCACAGTTTGAGTGTTTAACACTCAGCCAAGATAAGTAAAGGGCAGGTTGGTTTGAATTTTTTCAGGAGAAATTTTCAAACCACAATTAGCCAGTGCTGTTACTGTTTCATTCAACACGTTATGCAAATGAGCATGATCTGCATGAGCCAATAAAATATCATCCATGTAATGAATTAAATAAAGATTAGGATATTGGTTTCTTATATTCTGCAAGGCTGCATCTACAAACCTCTGGCACAAGGTAGGGCTGTTTTTCATACCTTGTGGCAGGACCTTCCATTGATATCTCTGGTACAGCTGCTTTAAATTATGAGAAGGTAAACTAAATGCAAATCTTTTACAGTCTTGAAAACTTAAAGGTATAGAAAAAAAGCAATCCTGTAGATCAATAACTATGATGTTATAATCAGCAGGAATAGCAACCAGAGATGGCAGCCCGGGCTGCAATACACCCATAGCCTCCATTAATGGGTGGCATTAATGGCTCTTAGATCCTGTAAAAGTCTCCATTTTTCAGATTTCTTTTTTATAACAAATCTAGGAGTATTCCAAGGACTGGTAGAAGGCTATGGCCAGCCTCCAACTGCTGTTGAATTAATTCTCTTGCTGCCTTAAGTTTCTCTGAGGGCATGGGCCATTGTTCCACCCAAACTGGTTTATCATCTTTCCAGATAATGGGATCAGCAGCCTCAGGATCAATAGTGGCCCCTAGGGCAATATTTGAAAAGCCAATACCAGACCGGTCTTTCCTCTCTACAACTTGAACAGGTCCTTTTATGCCCTGTCTGTTCCTTCCAAGTCCCTTTAAGGGATCGCATCCTATTTGTAGCATTTGCACTG